AATCGGTATTAGTGCCCGCGTTAAAACGACGTTGTGCGTGGGGTCGATGGCGAGATACGAGCCGCAGCGGCGATAATTGTACGACGACTTGACAACAGCCAGATTAGAATGACTTACACTTTCATGCCCGCCCAGAAACTTGTCGACGATTTGTGGTCCCACGTATAAACAATACAACTCCGGACATGTTTGCCTATATCATCATAATTTAGTTTAAACTGCGGAGATCTAGATCAGGCAGCTGTCTGTCTGCACAGTCGTCAGGCGGGGGGCGGGGCTGGATTTGGGAACATACGTTTAGGCGCGGTCTCCTCTGTTCATCAATGCCGAATAGATTAGTTTCATCATATTATATATCGCAGTGTTACAACAATTTGAAACCGGGTTTGAAAGTCATACCAATGCTGGTGGCCTTGCGGATGTTCACCGCGAGATCCGCTTCCGTTCTACCAACAACAGTATCAGCCAACGCATCCTCTTGCTTTGATCACCAGAAGGAACTGCCGTGAAAACGGTGCGGGATCTAAGCTTGACCAGGGGTTAATTACCTGCTCATGTCGATATTCCGTGTGGCTACCGAATTGTAGGCAAGTGACATGGCCCGGAGAGGTTGAGGGTGTGGTCGAACGGAATGGAGCGAAGGGACAGCCAGCAAAAGCTAGCCCGTAGCTTCAACAACAGAGCAGCGATAAGAGGGTATAGTTAAGTGGAATGAATAACAAAAAACAGACTGGTAGATATAAATAAGTGATAAACAAGGAAAAACCGAACTAGGAATAACGTAAAGAATTCTTAGATGTTGTTGCAACGCATTTGAAGTCGTCGCAATCAGCAATGCTGAGTCAGCACCCATTGTCTTGGCGCCGTCACTCGGGGGCTATGCACCATTTTTGTATCCATTCATAGCTCAGCATAACTTCACTTCCCATTCAGTCTGGGACAATGCTTCCTCATATCACCCTAGCATGATACTCTGTTTACGGTTATAGACTCCACTGGAAGATATATTTTGCTACTCATGATGCCGGTAGCTGGCGCCGGTTGGATTTCACCCCAGCGCAACTACGTGTATCTCAATCACCACATGCTAAAATAATGTGCGTGGTGACCAGACTATATGAGTAAACCTCCAATATCTCCTCAAACAATCATACGGAAAATGGGAATAAAGATCACACAACGGTTCCTAAAATGGAAATTGGATTATAATCTAATTTCAATTGCTAACTCTCTAAGCCAACAAGGGCGATGTAAGCAACTAATATAGGCAATACCGTCGTCTGGTCGCGGTTGCCAGCTACACCTACCATGAGGAATATAAGTTATTATATGAAAAACCTAAAAAATCCAATTAAAAATAAGCCGTGACAAACTCTAGTCAACCAACTCCATACGAATGAATGCTCCCCATGAATCGTCCAGAGAAAACCGAAAGGAAAGAAAAAAGGGGAAAGAAAGAACGAAAGGAAGTAGGAATAACGAGATCCAACCAACTCACTTGGCACCTAAACTAGATGCACAGTATCAATCGAAAAGAATAAAACAATAAAGCTGCACGTAGGCAGCTGTCTCATGAATGGAAAAGGATATCTGGGGTGTGTTCGTTAGGAGTTGGCACAGAGGAGGGTTTTGCTATCGTCTCATCCTTTGTGGAGGGAGTGCCCGTGGACTGCGTGTCATCCTCCAGTGGCTTTGGGTCGCTGTCCATGCTACTCTCAGCGCCAACTGACTCTGTAGTCGCTGCTACAGAAGCCTTATCTTCTGTTGGAGGCAAATTGCTTCCCGTGTCGTTAGCGGTCATCGTTTCAGTATTGTTGTCATTGTCATTGCTGTTTCTAGGAGCAAGATCCGTAACTGGCGTTGTTGGTTCTGATCCAAGAGGAGCTTCGATGATCAAAAGTTCGTCTAACACTTGTTCTTGGCTTCCCCTTATAGAAAGGTTACCACGACTCGGGAGTGGAGGTTTAGGGACGGGACGAGAAGCCTTCTGTGGACGTTCGGGTAAAAGAGGTGGCGGCAATTGTTTACGTTTCGGCATGGAAGGATTAGACAAGAAGCCAAACCTGTCTGGAGGTGGGAGAGGCATGCCTGGTGGGGGCAGAGGGCGTCCTCGCCCAATAGGATGGTCTGGCATTGGTGTTCTGTTGTCTCCCCTTGAGGATGGCTCCCCATTCCGCTTAAGAACATTCAAACCCCATTTTCGAGCGGCTGCAGCTGCTGATCCTATTGATCCTATAACTTGCCGTTCAGGGGGTTTGACACTTGTGATGTCAATGCTAGGCTGCGGGCCAGATGTAGTGTTTTGTTTTGTAGTCTCACTTTTCAAAGACAAGCTAGAACTACGTGGACTACTAGATATGGATAGCGTAGCTGGAGAAGATCGATCGGGAATCGAAGGTGTACGGGGCGTAATATCAATTGGTCTGGTCTCATCAGAGATACTGCTGCATCTGCGCGTCGCCGATCTTTTGTGAAATGAGGACGATTCTATCGGAGGCGAGCCAACGGGTGTTCCTGCAGGCGAGTTTGGCTGGGAGCGGTTAGAAATCTCAATCATAGCGGTTGTTGCATCCTTTTCCTCCAACTTCGAATCCCAGACGGAATGATCAACCTCCACAGTATCTGCTGTAACAACAGGGCCGGCAACGTTTGAAAATGTTCGAGATCGGATAACTCGAGGAGGGTCCAGTCGATTTATTCTGTCCACGCCGGAGGATACTGACAAGCCCAATTCTCCCAGGGTGGAAGGTATAGACTTTGAACTTTGGTCAGTTAAAGCTGGCGAGGGCGGAGTGATTGTAGCATCATTTTTGGTAGATACGGCATCGAGCGGAGACACTAGATCGTGTATTTGTTGTTGGGTTTCAGTTTCATCCGGAATCACTGTTTTCGACGGGGGTGTGGGGGGATGATGCCAAATGCCGCCACGGAAGGTTTCGTGTTCGGTATCTAGGAATGGTATATCGTCCCAGAATGGAAGAACCAAACTTTCCGCAACCACTTCCCTTATCCTACTTTCGATGGCACGAAGAATCACACCATACGTAATTTGTCTGCTGCTGACTATGGGTTCTATGGACATTTCCATATGTGGCATGCTTTCAAAAGAAACCCACAGCCTGTTGCTAGGAGGGGGTTTAAATCGTAAGAGGCCATGACCCTTTAAGCTTTTTAACACAACTGCCAGTACCAGGTCGACTTCTCGAGGCTTGAAGCGCGTACCAAGCTCTATGCGAGCAGTGGCTGCTACCTCTAGACGAAAATTTCCACTATAGTTAATATCTGCCTCCACACAGCAGTCTCCATCAATAGTAAGATCTCTGAGTCTAGGATTAGTGATAAGTGGAGCTCCCTCCCCAGCATCAATCTTTTGGAGAGAAATTTTCGTGATAAAATTAGGCTTCGTCACTCGGGATATCTTCTTCGTGATCTTTTTCCTGATAAAGGATTCAAAATCGGGAGTTTTGTACATGGCCAGAAATAGCCTTCCCATCAACGCATTGATCCATCGTGTCTGAAGGTGTTCTTCGGACGAATGTAGCCGCTGTATGAGAGTGACGATATGTTTCACATCGTAATGCTGAGGCGTCGGAGGAGAATGTGGAGAATCCGGAATCTTCTCAAGGTTTTTTAAGATTGCAAAATAGAAGTCTTCCTTTTCAGAAAGATTTTCCGAGAAGAGATAAAATGGCAGCGTCGAGGATCTCGATTCCAGTGCATCAGGGATTGAGCCTTGCTTCCTCGTCAAACAAATGGCGTTCCTCTTAATCCAGAGCTCTCCTTCAGGTATCTGCTCTCCACCATTGTAAATGCTGACGTCGTGGTGAGCCAACGAGATCACATAACGGACTTCTATTTGTTCTGCATCATCGTATAACATTAAATGTCCATGTCTAGGAGGGGGAAAAAATAATAAAAGTGAGTTTCTTTGTCATTATCTTGAGTCTTAACAGAGGAGTTGGCCGTGGACACAGACACACCTCAAAATGACGTAAAACACATTCCTTGCCTTCCTCGTGTTTTTCCCATTTCCTTTGGCGGGGTCGATCGTCGGAGCTTGTTTTCGATCAAATATACTCCGGTACATGCTCTGGTAAACACTTGGGCTCTCCGCCGCTACGACCTCGCCGGCAGGAGTGGTCCGTTCGGGAGGCTTCCCATTGACCCCTCCTGGAACATATTCCCGACAAACCGCAAAGTATCCCGCGGCGACATCGGACTCATGGGCTCTTTGGAACTTTTCTGCTAGAACATCTGTGCCAGTTTTTAAGCTAAACTGATCGTCAGTGGGATGCCGGATGCTGTCGGCACGGGGATCCTCGTCAGGCTTGCCATGCTTCGATAATTTCGGGAACGTTAGATGGGCATGGAGGAGTATCAAGCTCAGAATGAGCGGAATGAAGGTAACTCCACCAAGGATGTAGACGGTAACATAACCGTTGAAGGACCCCATGGAGGGCTATTAGAGGAGATAGCCAAAGGGCTCCATCGAGAAGAGCAAGGATAATGATAGCTTCGCTGGAGGTAGCTCGATGAAGAGGTAATGCAAGCCCTGGATCTGAATGAGCACAAGAGGGATAGAGCCCAATTCCCAGAGCTGCTGGTTAGTCGGGTATCAAGTCATTTAGTTCTTTGGAGATACTGCGAGAAGCTAAACGTGACAAAAAAACATCCAAGGTTGTTATTGTGGCTAGTTTGTATGCCGGGAAGTTGTGCCTGGTTGCGACCGAATCGCTGTGGATGGCAAGGTACAAGCTGATACCAACTCAGCCAAGCAACGATTGGCTGCTGTAGCGGTAGATCCAAGTCTCTTAGCATTGTCAGCTAACTAGTTATCTGCGGAACAGGCCGCGACTTGGAAAGCACCTGGGCAAGGTTTCGACATCACGTGAATACATTGATGACTAATAGTACGCTCTTAACGTTAGTTCAATTGCAATTATCTTGAACTACTATGGAAAGTTGAGCAAGAGGGCAATTATTAAACTCGATATTTGCTTTCATACTCCATTCTTACGAGAAGTGGAAGTTAGTTGGAAACATTTAGATGCGTATAATAACTATCTAGGGAAGTTGTTTAGATCCCATCTGTTAAGAAGGCTCGGTAAGAGTCTCAGAGGATTTGCTGATATATAAACCTATAGAATAGTTACATGATCGTCGACAGAATATTCGATCAATATAATGTACAATGTGAACATTTCAATAGAACTGCACCCCACCGGGGTGAGTTCTACTGGAGTAATGGGATTCCATATAATCCGCATCATAATAGCGCATTGTATCGATTTAAAAGGTCTTTTATTTCCCCCTGCCAATTGCCGGACTCCATGGCCACCACACGAGCGGTCTTGCCATCATCTGTCTTCTCACCCCGTGCAAAAGTCGGGTGTTTCAACACGGCTTTCAATAGGCTTGGATCACCCAGCTTCGCCGCATAGTGCACTGCAGCCCATCCGTCCTGACCCACAATGTCACCGACGTCATCAAGCTCTAGGAGGATCATCGCGCAGTCAATACTTTCATGGCGCAGTGCCTCAATGAGCGCCGTGTTCCCGTCGTAATTCTTCCCTGTCAGGATTAATTTCTTGTCGCGTGGAGGTTGCAACAAGCTTTCCAACGAATCACTCTCCCCTTGAATACATATATGGTGGATCAAGTTATTCCCAGAATTATCTAACAAATCCAGCTTTGCGCCATGTCGAATCAGACACTTCATACACTCCAAATCATCTAGGAAATCAAATATGGGCGGCCTGCCATCCTCATCTTGCGCATTAATGTCCAACTTTGGTATAAGGCTTGTCTCGCAGAATAGCGCCAGCGTTTCACACCTCTTCTCCCCCCGATCTGAAAGGCCGGCATAATGCAGCGCAACTTGATGATTCTCCTGCCTTACATTCGGATCTGCCCCCGCGTCAAGGAGGAGTTTTACGCAGCCCACCAAACACCCCTGCGCAGCCATCATAAGTGGTGACTCCCCCCAGACGTTGCTTTGATCGATATTCAACAAATCCGGATACCGTTTACATATCTCTAGCGCATAGCTCAAGCTTTCCAATGCATTTGACTCTACAGCAGCGTGTAAAATGTTTGCGTTCAAGTTCGACTTGATAAACGGATCCGCGCCGGTATTCACCAAAATCTTCATTTTATCCGCTTGGCCCGTGGCACTAGCCCAATGAAGTGGCGTCCAGTGGAATTTCCGATCTTTTTGATCGACTAGGTTCTGTATGATTTTGCCTGTATCTGGGTTTTCCGCCGCCGAAACCCGGAACTGCTCGATGATGGTGACGAAAAGTGGAGATCTTTTTTGGTATTTTGATTTCCAGTGGGACCAATTTGTGCCCTGAGGGGCGTTGTTGGCATGGTCCACGAAGTCAATGAGTTCTTCGAGTGTGGGGCGTTCGGAGTCCTCTGGATCGTAGAGATCCAGGACAGCAATGTGGATCGGGGTGAACTCATAGTCGTCGATGTAGTCGTCTTGTTTAGAGAAAACTTGGACGATGTCCTTTTCTGTTTGGGTAGCATCGGCTCCCTGGGATTTCAGAAACGCGAAGTCGACGGGTTTTCTAAAAAGTAAATAAATGGTTAGATCTGGATAGAGGCGATATTGAAGCTCCCAAAGTCGGGTTGAAGAGTGTGCAGACCGTGCTCCAAGATCCGATACTTCAGTCTCCGCACCTAGTTCAACAAGATACTGTACGGTTGGCAATTGTCTCGCGTACGCTGCAGTCTAGAAACAATCAGCACAGCAGGTGTCAGCAATATGGCAACCACTAACCCCTGATAATAATAGTAAAAAACCAATATTGAAATGCGAGAAAACATACATGCAACAAGGACCATCCATCCGGCGCCGTATCCCAAGGCGTTGCCTCCCCTGATTGAATTGCTAATTTCAACTTCTCCAGATTCCCACGTTTAACGTACCGCATGGCGTTGGATCCCTCCGGCACCATACGATAAGTATTTAGTCGATATCGAACCTGGATACTACTAGTTGACATCATATTCGCCATGGCCTTTTTAAAGAAAGAAACCGGGATGGACTTTTCCTGTGACGTTGTGGCTGCACAGCTTGGATCTGAGCACTCAACCTTAGGCTTGCTGTTCTCTCGAAATACCCGCACGTTAAGCCGTGAAGACCGCGCCTTGGGTTCACCGGTGGTCGAATCATCATGACATTTGCAGTAGCAATCATGTCGGCATGCGCGACGAATGACCAGTGAGCTCGTTGATCGGAGGTCTACTAAATTGCTTGATTGGGATGGGGTATCACTACCTCGCCTGTCCCTCCGGCCTGGTACTGATAGTTTATTATCAAACGAGGTAGAGGTTATGGAAGTATTTCTTGAATCTATCGAGCTCCGCGATGATGGTGTTGATGATCCGAGAGATAGAGTTGTGATGGAGGATGAGTTCGAGGATGGATACCTCGAAATTAAGGGTAACGCTGATTCCGACGCATCCTCGAGGAATTGAGGTTCGCTTGCCATCTCCTCAACGGCTGTCGAACATGCTTCTAGGAGTTGGGGGTGTTGATTGCAAACAGCAAGGAACGTCTCCCTGTACGGCTTTAGCACTCAGATAAATCAAGGGGGAGTTTGGTACTACGAACAAATGCGCCAGTGATATAAAACTATGCAATTGCGCACATTGGTTCTTGAACTGCTTGTCAAGCGCTTCAAACTGCGACTTATGCTGGACGAATCTAACTCGACGGAAACTCGAGTTTTCAGTCTTATACACCTGCGTTAAACGCTTCTCAAGATCTTTGATGGTTGCAAATCCATCATTAATAGCCGTTCGAAGGATCTTCTCGGAGATGTTGTGCTTTGTTTGACGGCTACGTAGGACACGATCAAACCCTCTCAGTGCCTCCTCGAATATCTCAAGGTTGTGTACGAGTTCAGATAGGTCTCTTGGTGCGTGTTTGTATTCTTTGATAAGGTCTAGAGCTCCCTTGCTGACCTTGATGAGAGTGGCAACGGATGCAAGCAACCCGATGGCGGATACAGGATCCATTATGGGCTCTACTATCGGATGGATCTAGTCGAACGTTCGTAGTGGAAATTCATCTCTATGCTCTAAGCTCTAAACGGTCCGATGTATTAGAAATACAAAATGTGAGGATGTGTTTTTTTTTTAGTGACGACGTTTCGCTACGGGGTTGTTCATCAGGATAGAAGATCAGGCTTCGACCAGACAAAACTATTTATGAGGCTGAGAAAAGCGGTCATCGAGGACCCCTCTCTCCCCACGCTCCTTGCCGATTCCTCACCTGGCTCAACAGACTGTCCAGAGGCGCTCACGCTAATTCGAGCCTTGTCTTCTGCCAGTCAATATCTCGCTCGTAGTATCGATTGGTACACCTGCTCGAAGAGATAACAACCCGTGTCCCCGCTGGCATACAAGCAGCCAAGTTTGGGGGCCATGTCTGTGGTAAGCGCCTGGGTTGGTTCTTCCCAAGACGACATCATAGCACTGAAAACACCCAAATACCCAGTAAAATAGAGGCTACCAGTGCAGTGCAGTGCGCGATGCGATGCTGAGCCCTTGGGGCGATTGCGGCAGGGATGCCGAGTCGCTGTCAGTCAATGATGGATGCACCCCAGCCCACTGCCAAGGAGCGGGGCGAAAAAAATGAGAATCACCTTTTGTTGCCCCTTTCCGGGGGGGGGGGGGGGGGGGGGGAAGAGATAGAGATATTTAGAATGACGATTGGTTAAGCGAGGTGCCGCCTCAGCCATATCAAAGATAGAGTTGTGAATCCCTGGCACTCCTTGAGTGTAGAGTGTTTGAACATGATTATCACTATTTATCTCCGTCGACTTTGATACCAGCTCTGTAAAGAACAGGCCCCCCCATCGTTAGACTAGTCTACTCCGCGAGCATGGCACCAATGCATGATACTGTTCTGCCAGATGCGCGGTCTCCATCTCTCTACCTCGACCACCCGACCGATGCAGAAAACAAAGCGATTTGGACTCTCACCTCAAGTGAATGGAAAGATGCTCTCCCCGTGGATATCTACCTTGAGGAATCACTGTATCTCATGACAGTCCCTTTAGCGAAAGATGGGGGAATGACCCAATGGGTGCTGGTGGATAGGGCCCTCCCGCGAGAGCAAAGGCCCCTCCTGGCTTCCTGCGAAACTTTCCGTAAACGCTCATGGGTCAGCGATAAACATGGCAATGTAGCCGAGTTCATCACCCACGGCGTCGCCAGTGTCTATTGTGACCCTCGATATCGCGGTCGGGGCTATGCCTCACGACTGATGAAGGAGCTGGCTAAGGTGCTACCAAGATGGCAAACGACCAGAACCAATCAATGTATCGCCAGTGTCCTATTTTCAGATATCGGGAAGCAATTCTATACAAATCTCAAATGGCATGCCTTCCCAAGCTTTCATGTCGAGTTCCCTCCTTCACTGGAGGCACCAGCAGCAGGACGGAGATCGTCAGCTGCGACACCGTTGTTCGCAAGGGACCTTGCGAAGCTCTGCAAACAGGATGAGGCACTTGCTCTGAAAGCAATGGCTGCACCATGCCCGTCCACTGAGAAAATACGCTTCATGATCGTACCGGATCACGATCACATGCTCTGGCACCATACCAAAGAAGAGTTTGCCGCTGAGGTTCTCTTCAAGTCACAGCCACAGGTCAAAGGTGCCATCGCTGGAGAGCTTGGGAATCGTATATGGGCGATCTGGACGCACCGGTTCTATGACCCTCCCAAGGACGCAAACTCCAACAATACTCTCTACATCCTGCGGCTTGTTATTGAAAACCAAGGTGCTCTAGATAGCTTCTCGGTGGAGTATGATTTACAAGTGGCGGGACTAAGAGCTGTGATTTTTGCTGCGCAGAGGGAGGCTGCAGAGTGGGGTTTACACCATGTTAATTTATGGGGACCGTCTGCTCAGGTACAAGAGCTGATCAAGCGAACGGGAGTCGCGCATCGAGAGGAAGACCGTGAAGAAGAAGGTATATGCTGTCTGCGGTGGTACGGAGAGGGGGACGGTACAGGGGATTCATTAGAATGGGTTGGCAATGAGAAGTACGGATGGTGTTGATCAGGATTGAATTTAGAATCTATAGCAGTGCGCGACCCTTTTTATTTTTTATTTTATTTTATTTTATTTTATTTTTTTGAGAAATATCTAGATCTATCTAAAACAATTCACCATCGCGTGTATATGTAGCATTGTATATGTTTCAATCTGTCTTGGGAATCTTCGTCGCTCGGCTCACGACAGCAGACGGCACTGGCCGTCGCACGAGAGACAATTCCTCGTAGAGCACTGATATCCCACTCTCCCCAACCCCTTCCAATTGCATCTGAATACGTTCCTTTTCCTCAAATCCGAGCTTTTCGTACAACGGCCAAGCAACAATAGTGCTCTCAAGCTGTATCGGAACATTCTCACTCGCACTGCGCTCCAGGCCCCACCGTATGAGCATCGAGGCCGCCCCGCGCCCTCCATGCTTCGGATGGGTTCCTATAAAACTCAAACCTAGGAGCAAATAAATAAGCAGCCATCAAGTCATCAAGTCATACGTACTGGGGGAAGATCAAATCAACAAAGAGAGTTAGCGAAACCTACAGTAGCAAGGCGTATCCCCTATAGCCCTGCTGCACGCATCATCCACCTTCTTCGTCCATTCATTCAGAATGTCCATCCTGGTGCCTTCGGGCCATCGCCAGGGTACCTCAACGTACGAGGCATCTAAAACAGGTCGCTTCCATTTCGCAAAGCTAATGATCTCGTTTTCGTCGCGAATGACCAGAACCGCCCATTGAGGATCGCGAATTTCCTCGCGAGCTTTATCCATCAGTGAGATTCGCAATCCGGCACGCAGGCAGGGTGTTGGGAATTGCGCCCGGAGCATCATGTTTTCGCCGAACGAAGCTAGGTGGATATCCGCGATGTCGCCTACATCGCTTTCCTCTGCTTCTGAAAGGGTGAGAGGCATGATGACAGGCAATCTGAAGAGTGGTCCGAATGAGTGTATGATACGATATGTTTAGAAAATATATTTGACTTACTAGTAGGACGAGATATGCCCTCTTTTATGCTGAAGGAGATATGGTGCCCGACCTCCGGCTCTTTGTAGCCAGATGGTTTCAGCCCTAGCCCCTCAATGCTTCTTTGTTAGACGCCTAAATAATCGTGAAATATGTGACAGCGATTCTACACCAGTAAGTGCCTGAATAGTAGTTTATCAATACCGACCATATCAATGAAACACGGCAATCTTTCAATAGACTTAATCAAAGCACCTCTGTGTTCTGTGTTGATCAGTAACTAACTTACTTAATCCAAGTCTAAGAATCCAAGCTGCTACCTTGATGTAAATGCTAACCTGCTGTGAGCAAAGCAAGTACCTTCACTGAATATGTGAAAACAACAGAGTTATACAGTGCCAGTGAGAAAATTGACGGGTGGTGAGGATGTTCACTGAAATACAGAGGCATTTATGTTCGCTGCTGGTTAAACTAAATCTAGGGCATGGTTATAGACCATGAAAATAGTTGGAGGAGCCCCTTTAAACATAACTAGGAAATGTATTTTGTTTATTCTAGTCACAGCACCAAGCACCAAGCACCATCACAGTCAAAATCCAGGGTGAGAATAGTATTAGTACGTTGAAAATGCTAGTTCCTTCGTCTATTCCCTATATTCATAGTTCCTTTAGGCTGAGGAACGACTGTTATTTTGACCTATTAGAAGGAAATAGGGGTTATGGTGCGGGCCTTTCAGGATTCAGTGACAATTACATGTCGAGAGTTCTCTTGAGTGTTGTGTTAGCCATATCGATTGCCCGACTCCCGGAAGTAGTTGAGACTTACATTCGGATACTTAAGAATACCAGCATTTATCACGACCTAGTCGATTTTCCTCTCTCCAGTTTGGGAGAGGTTATTGATGAATTTCTATACACGGACTCTCAGCATGGTCTCCGCTTATTTCGGGAGGAAGCAACATGAAAGAATGTTACACAGTAATGCTGTCGTTGCTAGACCCATCGCACGTCAAAACCTTTGCGCGGTCAGGGGCTTCTTTAACATGGACATCTAGGGCTAACTTACGCTAGAGCTACGTATTTATCGTAAGTTAGCCAGGACGCGATGGCCATTGGCGAGGATCTGACGAGCAAATTCGAGGTCAATACCGCGAGATACACCGACAATGAGCCCGGTCTGGACAGCTTTAGACATTGTGGCCTAATATTGGTCGAGTATTAGCACGTTCTGGCGAGGGCTATTTGGCTGACGTTAATGTCGAGGTGTTTGGAGGGCAGCTATATAACCACGGCTGGGGCGCGATTTTATAGATATAGAATTGTTCTTAACACTTAGATGCTGGAAACCCCCTCCTCTCCTGCAGAACAACGTCAATTCGCCTGCCTGGATAAGTTAATGGTAAATGTGCTAAATAGTTTATTAATTAACTTGAGGAGGTTTGGATCAGCCTCGCCATGAACTCGCGAATTACTTCTCTTCCTGGAGTACTCAAGATATCTATCGCATCTGCTTTCCCTGGCCACACTGCAAGGATTGGAACGATTCTTGGGGGGCTGAGCTGCATGAAATATAAATCTTCTATGATCTGCAAAGGGAGCTAACTTCTCAAGCCAGCCTATGAATTGCTCTCATCACACCTCCTGTGATACACCTTACATTTCCGTACAAGCGGGGCAACAAAGGCGAGGCAGTTCAGATCATGAATTCAAATCAAGATTCCTGTTAATATATCAATCCGAGGGGTCGATTCTTTTTAGCCACTGAAAAATGTGGCTGTTTGACGCTTGTTCTGTATAGAATCCCCGCTGAAAACGCTTGTTCGAATATGATGGGTCTAGATCGATATTTCATCATGGGAGATTTTCGAGCACTCGGATGATCTCCCTTTATCGTCAAGTCTCATGGGTGGCATTCTGACATACGAGACCGATCTGTATTTTGCATGGCAGTTCGACCCGTCTGATTCGTGTCCTGTTATGCTTCGGGTTTGAAAAGATCGTAGACGGTCCGAAGGCAGGCCTGGATTTTGCTATCAGATAGGGTTGAGGCGGATGTGACAATTTGTTTATACCATACGGTTATAGTCATTAGCCAATTGAACTTGGTCAACCAAGATAGAAAATACAAAAACGGAGTCAAAAATCAAATCATAAACTACATCATCACTGCGGACATGAACATCACCGTCACCAACTCAACGGACCCTCCTCACTCTGGTCCTCAAGAATGCTAATGACAGGCTCAACCGCTGCTCGGGTACTCATGAGCGTGGACTCCTGTCTAGTCCGCGTGTAGAAAACAGGACAGTCCTTACTATCACACTTAACATCTTCCCCCCACGAAACGCCCATGCACGAACGGCATACTTTATGTAAATAAACCTTCTTTCTCTCCTCCCTCATCAATCTATGTTTCAGTTGTAGTAGCGATATATGGCCATCCCGCAAACAGCCGCCGCAAATCCGCTCCTCACCCTCCTCCAGTTTGTCCCGACAAACAACACAAGAAGACAATTTCATATACGACTCCAATGTCTTTTTCATCGAGGAGAACCCTTCTTTATTTGCGGAGGCATTCGAAGCACCGCCGTCAATACGCCGCACACGCTGATACTTGGGCATCTCGTCGTACCATTGTCGAACGTTGGCACCAACGAGGTTGAAAATCCGCTCAAGTGGTGGAATTAGGTTTTTGGAAATGTAGTACTCTGCATCCAACTCTAGCTGAGAATCGTGCAGGAGAACTTCCGGGGATACACAGCGGTCAATGAGTCTAGCACCGGGTGCACCAGAGATTACCACGTAAGGAATCCGTTCTCCGTATTGCGCTTCCGTCCTTGGGTCCTCAAGCATGTGCTTGGCACTGATAAGGGCGCCAGGAGGTGGCATGCCCCGCTCGCTGTACGTTCCCAGTCGAACTTCTTTTGCAAAGCAAAAATCCTGAATGGAGACTTTGCCCTGCATGATTTTAGCGCATTGTTTCTGGAAATAGCTTTTCACCCGACTCAGATCGGCCGTCTCGAACAGTATCTTCAGCGCTTTCTCTTCGATTTTCTGCTCTGCGGGTGTTCCGTCGCGGCGGACAGTTTCGATCCCCTTGGCATCAAAATCTGGATCCTTCTGCGAGCGACTCTCGTATTTGTACCCAACATACCGCTTCTTCGCTAATAGGACACACGGATGGTAAACCTTCTCGAACTTGAGCTTGACAGGGCGCGGGTTTGAGTTTGTGACTTTTCTCGCAATTTCCTCACCAATATCAAAGGCCTCCTCTCTCGTACGCCCCTTGAGGTAAACAAAAATGCTATCGGTATCTCCGTACACTACCTCAGCACCCCATCGTTCGACAGAATGGATCAGCGCAATAGCTTTTTCTAGCGTTTCTCTGGCTGTCTGAACGATGCTATCTGCAATCTCCGCGCACGGCATTCGACCAGAAAATGAAGCAGACGTATATCCGTACGTGACGTTGGCGATTAGCTTCAGCGCTAGTTGTCGGTTATTGAGTAGACGTTGCAAGTACTTATCGTCCTTCTCAGCTTTCATGCCACCCTTAACCATAACTCTTGTTTCCAGAATTTCGATCAACATTTTCGCTAACAATGACCTGCGGATCTCCTGCTTGGCGTATATGATCCCGTTGGGGGCGATGTTGACTTGATCCTTGAATAACTCAAGAATTCCAGCTGGCCTCCTGAAGTCAATAAATCCTAGTTTGTTCTGGCCCCGCCAATTCACGACCCTTCCCAGGCAGGTCGAATAGCAGTAATTATAGGCAATCATGACACTCGGATACAGCGACTGGAAGTCGAGCACCAAGAGCGGGCTGGTGTAGAAATCGCTTTGTGGCTCCATGACAAGCGGCAAGCACTCAAGTGCATTTTGCTGGCCAACCTGCGTCCTGCCTGGGGAGATGAGGATGAAATTTTCTGGTTTCGCAATTCGGAACATGAGTGACTCGACTTTGAATTGCGATCCTCTGGAGAAAACAGAAAAGAAATCGATGCCCAATATTCGAGCCTGCTCACTAGTTCTGGAAACCAATTCGTTCGCTTCAATGATTTTCAAATTCAGCTGAACCCGTGAGACGAAGTAATTGATGACCTTTGCGATATCCCGCGGCTTCTTGCTGGTAAACCATTTCGTTAAATCTTGGAAGGCGTAGTGCGGGATGCGTTGGTGAAGGAGATGGAAGACTACGTTCTCCATAGTATATTGTAACAAGTTTAGTTCCCCTCGCATTGCTCTCCATATGTTGATCATATGTCGGCCAGTAACACGAATTGAGGACGTATGATTGAACCCCCAGCGATCATTTTCCTTGCCAATCCGTCCATGGGAACTTGTTTTCACTCTGGACAACTCGTCACAAAGGTCATAGTCGAACTTGTATCTCGCCCTTTCAATGAGGTACCCCCACGAACTATTATGTACCTCATAGCCCGTCAAAATATCGGGATCACGCTGCCTTACGACATCAACCAGTTTCGTCAGAAGATCAAGCTCTGTAGTTTCTTCGTCAAACTCAGACACCATGGTAGGAGATATCTTAGCTGCGAGGCTTTCATTTTCAGCGAGAGCAATAATCCCCGCAGTCATGCCACCGGAATCATCGTCGTCATCTATGCCAGTTTCACCATCTTGCACACACCAGATAATGCAGGAAATTTCATCCTCTTCAGGATTTGGAACTAAAATGCCACGTGTATTCACATGAACCTCCAGACTCATCACACTCATATATTGAGCCTCTTGTCGCACGTTCCTCGTCGGCTTTTTCTGAGAATACTTGAAGCCATGGCGATTCTTTTGAGTTGGGCCTTCAATCTGAGAAAGAGCAGAAGTTGTGGGCTTCTGTGAAGGGGCATTGCTCTCGTTAGCATCCTTGAATTTCCGAGTTTCTTCCTCAAGCCATTCAATAACTTCACTACGGCTTGGGGCAGTTGGTGCAAATTCCCAGGTCCGCAGTGAGCAAGATTTTCGGAGCTTGTTGTTATCCTTTTCAAGGGCGTCTCCATTAATGATTACAGGTGGCTTGTCTCCGAACAACGCAGGAGAGTACCCAGTCGCATCGAACGGGGGCAGATAAGGCACCGTAACACTTTCTAGCTTAAATTCTCTTCCAGCGTATTCGCGTGCACGATGAGGGACATCGTCCGAGTTGCCATAGTGAGGTCCTTGGTAAATAATTGAAGGACGGCCATCGTCGTGCATTGTCGACAGAACTTCAGAGAGCGGGGGACAGCGTGGAATGAAACTAAAGATTTTACTCTCTTGTGGTATGTTGAATGATTCGTAGAGACATGGTTGAGGCTCCAAAATGGATGATGAAGACGTCCCCGTATGATTTAATTCAGAAGAGGTTTCAGAATTGTGGCTGGGAGTCTCTGGATCCGGGACGGAGACTGGCTGGCTACGGCCTTGTTTTGGACCCTGCGGTTGGGATTTCTGCGACAAATTATCCTGTTGACTCAGTCTTGAAATGGTTGCGGGATCATGCGCGTCTTTAACCACATGGAAGGATATTCGCTTATTTCCGTTATAGCTGCTAGTACGCTTCTGGGATTGCTTGAGCTGTGATGAAAGTGGGTGATTAACGGCTATGGATTCTAAATCTGTAGATCCATCGGCTGAGAGGGTATTGGCCGCGGCGCTCTTCAATCTGTCATGGGAAGCCCTGGTCGTGACAGCTGGAAACTTGCTATCGTTGTCCGGTTTAAACCGTTTGTTCTCCCTATCCCTCTCGGGCACAGATGGATTTGCGCGTTTCGAAACATTCGGGTGAGAAGTTATGTCGCTAATAAACGATTCGTCGATCTCGAAAACATCTTCTTGGCTGTTAATCAATTCGGTATATGGGCGAACCCCGAAACGTTTCAGCTCTAGAAGGTCTGCCTGCTCTTCAACCACCGCTTCGGTGGCTGCGTTCGAAACTTCCTGGTCGTTAAAGTCCAACGAGCTCGCAGGTCCCTCAGGGGGGTTGGGCTCCAAATCGCCTGCAATCTCAACTTCCTGCTCATGCAGAAATGAGCCATTCAAACCATCATCATCCGAATCATAAGAAAACACCTCCTCCTGTCTGGGAGGAAGTATACAGCTCTCGTCTACCTCGATATGTATCCTAGATTCCTCTGCTGTTGTATCATCCATTCCTAAATTCTCGGGTTGCACAGCCTGTATGTTCTCAGGAAACAGGTCTTCAACGCTACTCAAAGATGACCGAATAGTAGCCTCGAAAGGCGTCGTTGCAACAAAATCTGCGAAAGTGGGTTTTCGCCCAAGATGCTCCTCATCCGTAACAGCTTCTATTTTCGTTCTATACTCCTCCTCATGAATCCAACCGCCAGGACCCGTATTTCTAGGATCCGCAGACATTGAAACCAACTCTTCAGGGCGGAAAGGCGAGCTACTATCCGTATCGGAGGGATTAAGCTTGCCCCTCCTTCGTCGAGATTCTTCTTCCCATAACCCAGCCAAGCTGGGCACAAGCTTTTTGCCCGGAATTGAAGGCTGAAGCATTTCCATAAAATCTTGGTGTATCGGACGCTCCTTAACCTCAGCACGATTGATAATATCCTGAACGTGAATATCAACTTCTAAATCGCAATGGCTTTGTCGAGGCAAAGTAAAACTGTCGAAAACAGCACTCTCTGGGATGGAGCGGTCATGCCAAATATGTGTCGAGTTTTCAAGATAAGTGGGTATTGGCGCTCGGAACGTCACCTTGCTGCTCTTAAGGTATGCACAGCCGTACAGATTGTAATCGCACATCCACTGCGACAAATACTGCAGATGGCTCTCGTAGGGCTGAAGAACGCGTTTCATCACTGCTCCCTGTCTCAATAGGTCGGCTAGACGCGTCATATGCATAGGGTTGAATAGGTATATCTTAAAGAAGAACCTGTACCCGACATGATACCCGTAGAAAGGAACGCCCTTTACGAGGGTGATGTGGGCGACATACGCCGTTTTCTTTTCATACGCATTTCGGCGATAGCTTACGGCCAGAGCATGATCGATCGACAAGTGAAGCGTGCGAATGGCAGTATTTACTGAAGAATATTAGGGAAAAAATTCCGCAACTTCTGGAATAATTTCATCGTTTTCCAAGGACGTATATCTAACCTTCTTTTGGATTCAAGCTCCCCTGATACTCGATATAGAGGTATGGGAATGCGCCATGTATGTGAGCGCAGACCTTTTGCCCCGTCTCCGTCGCTCCGAAAACTCGGATGACGGGGACCTTCGGGCGTACACTTTTCGGGGCTGGGCCAGCATTTACAGGAAGTTGAGGGTCAAAACTTGTCTGGATTGCCTGGTAATGATCAACGCAATTCAGCAGAACTTGAAACTTTTCCATCTGCTAGCTGGTGATGGGTAATCCAGAGGCAGGCATTGCTTTGCGTTAGATGTGATATCCATAAAACTAGATAATAACAAAAATATAATCTTAAATCCAAAAACAGGGGATAATAACCCAATTAAAAGTCCGTCCAGATGTTTGTTGTCGTTGTTGCTGCTCTTGGGGCTGAGGTTGTTTCTTCATCTGAACAACGAACGCGTCGAGATCTGACGGGGTGGCGCCACATCACGTGATAATATCGTTGCGGCGTTTTCGCTTTTGAGGTCGGCTTGTCCGCAGATAGAGAGCATCATCACTCGATCTTCACCTCAACTTCGACCTCCACATCAACCCCCTGTGAAGAAAACCGTCGCTTCCCCCCCAAAACTGCCTAATACTATACTGAGGCATTATAACGATCCATCTAGCCATTATGTCCCGACGACCAACGGATGTGGCGTCGAAGGAGCGCAACGAATATATTCCCGCCTTTATCTCCAAGAAGCCTTTCTACGTCGACGACGAGTCTTCTGCAAATGACTACCTTGAGCATCAACGTCTTCAGAAATCCAAAACAGAGCAAAAATGGTATGATAGAGGGAAGCGTGTAGGGCCAGCTGCGACCAAATACCGCAAAGGCGCTTGCGAGAACTGCGGCTCCATGTCCCACAAAGTTAAAGAGTGTCTGAGCCGGCCTAGAAAACTGGGAGCGAAATGGACTGGGAAGGACATACAACCAGACGAAGAGATTCAAAAGGTGGACCTAGATTGGGATGCGAAGCGGGATAGATGGAATGGCTACGATGCTTCGGAATATCGGAATGTGGTAGAGGAATATGAAGAGCTGGAAGCGCTGAAGAGACAAGCGAAGGAACGTGCGGAGAGGAAAGAGTTACAGGCTGGCGATGAGGAGGAGGAAGGTCATGACGGAGTCGATGGTGCTGAGGAGGCTAAATATGCGGAGGAGTCTGATATGGGCCGACAACAGAGTACCGCTACGCGCAATCTACGACTACGAGAAGACACTGCGAAATATCTCCTCAACTTGGATCTTGACTCTGCAAAATACGACCCTAAGACGCGCAGGATGGTGGATATGGGCGCGCAGTCAGATCTGGCTGCTGCTCTCGTTGCGGAGGAGAACTTCATTCGGGCCTCAGGAGATGCAGCTGAGTTTGAACGAGCACAGCGATATGCGTGGGAATCACAGGAACGTGGCGATAAGGACAGACAACATCTCCAGGCAAATCCTACATCGGGCGAATATTTCAGAAAGAAAGAAAAGGAGCAGGCGGAAGAAAAGCGCAAGACTCAGCGACAAGCATTGCTGGAGAGATATGGTGGCGAGAAACATTTACAACCAGCTCCCTTGCGCGATGCTGCAGTTATTGAGAACGAACGATTTGTTGAGTATGACGAGACAGGTGCCATAAAGGGAGAGCCGAAAAAGGTAGCGAAGTCGAAGTATGCGGAGGATATACTCATCAACAACCACACGTCGGTATGGGGAAGCTGGTGGTCGAACTTTTTATGGGGCTACGCGTGCTGTCATTCTACGGTGAAAAACAGTTACTGTACAGGGGAAGAAGGGAAAACTGCGTTTGAGGAGGCTCAAAATATGCTACTTAACGATATGAAAATCGCTGGGCAGGAAGAGGAAGAAGGAGGCGAGAAGGAGAGCGCAAAAGAACAATCTCAACTGGCTAAGAAGCGTGATAAATCTGCTCCTGATAAAAACCTCGGGAAGCGGACTCTCAAGGAAATGCAGCAGGGCGTTACTGAGGAAGAGCTAGAAGCCTATAAGAAATCGAGAAGCGCAGCAGCCGATCCAATGGCGGCGTTCCTTGGGAAGGATGAGCTGGTTCGATGATAGTTTTGCCCGGCGGCTCATAGTTTAATTATTTTATTTCGTCATGCTGAGCGTGCAAGCGATTGTTATTTATTTATTTATTTTACCATTCCTAGTGGCTAGTGGAAAATAAGTGTATGACTATTTACGATATAATAATAATATAACTAGACTAGGTATTGAAATTATATCAACATGCCATGCCAACATGCCAACATGTCAACAACAATTTGCCCCTTGCTAATTCCCGTCCCTGGCATAGAGACGCGTGCCAAGACGCAGCAGCATCCAGGGTGGGAACATCAAACAACGCGATGGAAGTGCAGGGAGCTCAGTACTCATCGTACACGGGACATCCCATTGATGATTAAATTGTAGCTTACAGGGAAATATCTGAAATAGGAACAACCAGCGAGGATCCAGACAACTTGTTATCCAGATTTCAAACATAAGACCACCCGCAATTCGGAGGGTATTGGTGGCTTGTTGATAGGGGAGGAGGTTCAGCCCCCCCCCAAGGTTTCCCTAACGACCGAGCTCTGGCTCAAGCAGCAGCAAACCATCAACGGCGTGACCTGACGAAAGTAACTGCTCACATCAACCTCCTCTCAACGTCTGACTTCCACCACTTACACACACACACACACACACACACACACACACACACACACACACTCTCTCTCTCTCTCTCTCTCTCTCTCTCTCTCTCTCTCTCTCTTTTTCTCTTTCTCTCTCTCTCTCTTCTCTCTTTATCTCGACACACATATCCTTCCAAACGGGCGAACAGTTGATCTGTTCTCTCGTTGCCCTTCACCCTGACCCTTGTCGAGTCTTCTACATTCGTTTGGTCCGAAAGACTCGCTCTCTCATCCATGAAAGTTCGATGTTTAGCGATGGATCGGTAGCGTATCCTACAAAGATCGCGACTCGGTTGCTCGGCCCTTCCAGTCTCGCCAATTTGCTGGATGTATTGATAGTTTGAGGAATCGTCGTATCACAGTCAGTCGTGCCAGTGACGACGTGAGAGAGCAAAAAGTTCGGTGTGGTCTGGGGAATTCTGGGGCAAGAGTGCGGGTGTGCTTCGGCGGCAGATAAGCACAATAAATAGATACTGACTGGCTCGTGGACGCTCATCGACCTCTTCCTACGCACGCACACATACCGAAAGTGGAAAAAATAAAAGTAAAAAAAATGCCTCTACAGAAAAGCATGCCGCAGAGGCCTTCTCGGTCAAAATCCTCCTCCAATCCACCTCCCCACAACGATGATTCTGGCTCTGGAGGTAGGCATTTGCCCGTTCAGCCAAAGTTCTCCGCTCTAGCCAAAACCCAGGCCGCGAAGACTAACAGACGGGTGGAAGCAGTGGAGGTTTCTCCCTCAAGAAGGGTACAGAAAAATTCGTCCTCGGGTAGTATAACGACAGACAGTTCCAATTCTAGCTCGTTGCCTTTTAGGAATAGCACGGAGCAGCGCGTTGCTGTTGCCCCGGCGCGCAGGAGGCTGTCAATTAGGGAGCAGAACACGGCTGTAGGGCCGCGAAATGGAGACCCTGTGAAACGGTAATTACTTTATTTTATTTTATTTTATTTATTTTAATTTTTTTCACCTTTTCTATTTAGCGATTTTTTGCACGTTGTTATTTGTGTCAGTGAACTAACAGTGACACTATTATCTGCAGCAGTACATTCACCAATTATTCGAATCCTCAAATGTATTCCGAGAGCCCTTCCATTCAATCCTCTACATTTCATGGACACGCAGAAAACTCGAACTCTCCCTTGAGTTTTAGTTCAGCAACAGCTAGTGGTTCATTGAAGGATGAGGGTCAGACTCCCCCCGATAACAGCGACTTCCTTACGCCAATTAGTTTCGACGATTTCCATAATAGTATCATGTCGAAAGAACCAAATTTAAGCCATTTCCCTCTTTCTCTGGGTAGCAGCTATGATTCGAAACCTCCGGCTCCACGGTCGACCCCGCGATGGCAAAGTCAACAGCAACCACAAAATGGGAGCCATGTCCGGACGGTACAACTGGCACGAAGAGAAAGCAATGCTTCGCGGAGCACGATGGGGAGTGTAACTGCGGTAAATGGAAATACCCAGACTCAAGCAACGACTGCGTCTCGCCCGCGTCGTCTAAGTCACGCTCCTCCTCCTACCTCGACTGTTACAACGTCACGACCGCCTAGAAAATCTATTGGACCAGGTAATTTAATTTCCGACAATGGAGATCGCCCCCCACGGAGAAGACCAAGTTTATCAGCAAGGAAAAACATGGCGGATGCAAATCGCCCAGGCCAGGCGAGTTTCGCCCCTCAAAACTTTGGGGCAGGTGGGCCTTCCGAACCCTCGACGTTTTTGAATACACCAAGGTATCAGAAATCAAAATCGCTACAGCCACCTTCCCGGACAGCTAGGGATAGCAAGGATAGTCTTATCATTCCATCTACGGGGTCAGTGCCTTTGAGGTCTTCATCAAATAACGCTGTTCGAACTCCAGCTAAAAGTGGATTAAACCGGACAACGACACCATCCTCATCAAAGCGGATCTCTGTTATGCCACCACATGCTACCGGCTTGGGAGCGCGAACAATCAGTCCCACTGATGCTAGACGTATGAAACGAATGTCATTGATGCCCCAACCTCCTCCAATGCCACATACACCTCCAACGCAGCAAGAAATTGTGCTTCCCCGACCTCGTTCTTCGGCCCAGTCTCCATCCATGATACCGAGGAAAAGCGTTACTCCTTCCTCTTCAAGGACCACTCCTGACCCTCATCGGAAATCCTATAGCTCGGGGATTTCATTATCCTCCAACACTAGTTATAATTCTGCTCGAAATTCTAATGGGTCGTTACAACCCAGACTTTCGCAGAATATTTCGACTTCTAGGTTGCCAACTCCGAAACCCCGTACCGAGAACACGTCTAATAACGATGAGGAAGAGGTTCCTCCAGTTCCAGCGATCCCCAAGGCATACGAGTCACCTAAAACTGAAGGAGAGCTCCAGGTGCCCAATACTCGAAAATCGAGCTTGCCTTTTGAAACCGGATTACACAAAGACAACTCAAGACCTGATTCTAATGCCATCGAAACTCCTAGCAAAGGACCTGTAAGGGATGATTTCCATGTTACGAGACCAATTATCCATCGGATGGATACTAAGCCTAGACCTGTGTCAAATATCGGTCGAAAGAATCTCCAGCCATTGAAGCTTCCGCCGCTCAATCTATTGCCCCTAAGCATTCCTATGACTACCAAGATTGAATCTTTGCGGGATAAAAATACCGAGGATACGACCCTGCGCATCTCTCGTACACCTCCACCCCGTCAAACCCTGGCCAAGACTCCGACTACCCCAATGACCGCTTCTAAAGCGAGCTTCTTTTCCCACAATCTCCACGATCACGAACCCCTACCATCCACGCAACCGAGGAGCACTAGTTCACACCATGCACTTCTCACTGACCCAATACGGTTCAGGGCCCAGAATAGCTCCAGTGCTCTTGAGCCTTTGGATATTCTGTCTGACCACAGAAGCGTTTCGCCCTATGTTTCTTCATCATTACCCAAGACCAGTGGAGAGTTCTCTCATGTTCCACCCCAGCTTCCCAGCGAATACTCTAGGAATAACGCTAGCAGGCTTACTGGCCCGCGTCCTCAAACTCAGTTTGCTACCTTTTCACCACGGCTTGAGGGGTCAAGCTTAGGGCCCCCAACGACTATAGATACCGAATCTGAGAGTAGTGCACCGCCGTTCACTCGGCGAAACCCTAGCTCCGATCACCAGAGAACAAAGTCATACCACACAATCAAGGAACCAGGCAGCGATTCGGCTAAATATGGCAGCATGCCTCCTCCAAAACTTCCGGCCTCAGCTACTTGGAATAATTTATTAACAGCTGGGCAAAACCCCGGCTCTAAACCTACATACTTGCACTCAAGACGCAAAGCATCTATGTCGAGCGTCACGAACGGTCTGGTTCAACGGACACAGAGCATTAGCAGCGAACAGAGCCTGGCGCTCAACCCTAGCCCTTCTACAGATGCTGGTGATACGGACAGCCCAGCAAACCCCTCAGCGTCCTCCTTATTATCACCAGTACATAAGCTTCTATCCAGCTCCAAACCAACGACGCCCAAACTTCGTCCTCAAGATCAGAATTTTGACCGTGACGACTTATCGGCTGAAGAGGAGATGAGGAAGCTAGGTAGTAAACGGAAAGATTTCGAGACCGCTGCGAAGGAATTGGAAGAATTGCGACGCAGGGCAAGTCCTAAGGAGCGAGTTGGACCTGCCCAGGCTCTCAAGATGGCGAGTTTGAATATCTTCGAGAAAGGTGAAATTATTGATTTCAAAGATATCTACTTCTGTGGTACGCACAAGGCGAAAAAACATGTCGGAGATCTGAATGCCCAAGCTGCCAATTTTGGGTATGACGATGAACGTGGCGATTACAACATCGTCATTGGGGACCACCTGGCATACCGCTATGAAATTGTCGATATTCTGGGCAAGGGAAGTTTTGGTCAGGTAGTCCGATGCGTTGATCATAAAACTGGCGTTCTTGTCGCAGTGAAGATTATCAGAAATAAAAAGCGATTCCACCAGCAGGCACTCGTCGAAGTAAATATCCTGCAGAAGCTTAAGGAATGGGTATGGTTTCTCCTATCCACATTCCGTCCTTCCTATCCCTTATTGTTCTAACCAAATCTACAGGACCCCCACCGACGCCATAGCGTTGTGAACTTTACTCAAAGCTTTTACTTCCGTGGACACCTGTGTATATCGACTGAACTTCTGGGAATGAACCTGTACGAGTTTATCAAAGCTCATGATTTTAGGGGATTCTCCCTCAAGCTCATCCGCCGGTTTACAAAGCAGCTGCTCAGCACTTTAGTTCTTTTGCATAAAAACAAGGTCATTCATTGCGACTTGAAACCGGAAAATGTACTCCTAGCCCACCCTATGCATTCAGAAATCAAGGTGATAGACTTTGGCTCCAGTTGTTTTGAGAATGAGAAAGTGTACACTTACATTCAGAGCCGCTTTTACCGTTCCCCTGAAGTTATATTGGGCATGTCGTATGGTATGCCCATTGACATGTGGAGTGTAGGTTGCATACTTGCTGAATTATTCACTGGCTACCCTATATTCCCTGGTGAAAACGAGCAAGAGCAGCTAGCATGTATTATGGAGGTGTTCGGGCCACCCGAAAAGCACCTCATAGAAAAGAGTACACGGAGAAAACTTTTCTTCGACTCTCTTGGGAAACCTCGCTTGACAGTCTCATCCAAGGGGAGAAGGAGAAGGCCAAGCTCCAAAGATCTCCGGCAAGCCTTGAAGTGCGATGATGATGCTTTCCCAGACTTTATCGCACGCTGTTTACGATGGGATCCAGCACGAAGACTCACACCAAATGACGCTTTGAACCACGAGTTCATCACCGGCATAAAGTCCATCCCCCGATCACGAGGCTATCTTGCCCCGATAAACTCACCTGGAAAGCGCATGGCTTCCGGACCCGCTTCGTCGACCATACGGCCACTCCCTGATCCTCCATCTCATAGCACCAAGAGTGCGGGAAGACCACGAGACATGCCAAGCCAATCTCCCATTAAAAATACCGGACCAAAGAGGAATTCGGCTACTACGAATGTATCCGCGGCGAACAGTGCAACAAAACGGACGTCAAATGGGAATCTGATGACTGGTTCTGCCTTACCACGTGTCACAAGAGCTACGAGTGGAAAAGCAGATCTTGCAACAGCGGCAGCGGCAACCAGCTTGGTAAGCTGAAGCTCAAATTCCCGTCTCTTCCGCTTTTGCTGCACCTCCAAGATAAATTACTGACCCGAACATTGTGATGCTGCTAGAAAACAAGGTGATGATGCGGCCTCTCTCGTACTCTTCAATAAATTCAGCCCTGGCTCCCTTAACCTGTGGTTCCTAAAAAGAGAGTAAAGCAGGCGAAGAATACTTCGTTAATTGCTATAACGCTTCGAAATGCCCCCTGCACTGTTTCATATTCGGTTCGCAAACTTCTTTTCAGTTCATACCCCACGCTCTGCGTTTGCTCTTCTTGTTCTGTATCCAGTTTCGACAGGCTCACCCGCCCACTCACTCATTCTAAAATTGCGCGTGTTTCTTGATATGCCCGCTGTATTTAATTAATGTCCCGTATTCGCTCTTGCTTTTTCCCTCATTTTTGTCTCTAATGATGTATAGCAAAGTAAACAAGTTTCTTTCCCGCTTGTTTATCCCCGGGAATGGAAACTTTGCATTTGGATTTTTTGACCCTCGTCCCCCATTTCTCCCCTTTTCGTTATCTAGCTTATATTGCCGTGTATCATCACTAATCGCGTCCGGCTCTCTTTTTCATGTCAACTCATTTCTTTTCTGTTTTTTGGGAAGACTACCGGTTCGATCATATCGCGGCGTGGCCTTACTGGCTAATTTTCATCATATTCCCTTTCTTTTCGTGGCTTGCCCGGTTGTCCCTACAGCCGGTATTGTTCATTTCTTACTGTACTCGCTTTGCCCTATATTCATTTACATCCCCTCTTTCCTTCCCTGTTCTTTTTACACTTTTTCTTAGACATACAGCATACACCTATTTCGCACAGCAGATTTTTTTCAATTATGGGAGAGAAGAGCCTTTTCGTACAGGATATCATTTTTTCCTTCTAGCTCCTTTCTTCGCATGCTCATTATTGTCTAACACCTCTTCGACCTATCTTTTTTTTTTCTTTTTTTTCGTGTTCCTATCCTTCTTCATTTGTTGATCTCCCTTTTCTTTTTTACTCCATATTTCATTGTACATATAACATACATTGACCTCGGTGTCTTGTTGGTTCGGGCTTGATTTAATTGATGCGGCTATGTGTGTTTAGTTTTTCATCGTCTTTTCTTGAGGTTTTTTTTTTTTTTTTGAAGTCTTGTCTTTGAGCTAGATTTTTACTACATCTCCTATTTATGACAATGTTTCTTCTTATTCTTGAGCGCAATCAGACATATATCCCATTTGTTTTCAGATTGCTACGGTTTATAGGATCTAACTATTTATTACATATATTTAACTCTCATGGCATCAGCCATCCATCCAATATAAAAAGGGGAATCATATTTTTAATTAAGTTCAACGCCACCAAATTGTGGAAAGCTGGCCTGACGGGGATCCTGCTTAGTCATTCCCCCAGATCAATGGAATGCCGCTGTGAGCTACTTCCGGTCTATCAACCAACTGCTACCTCGAGTTATTTGCTGTTCACCCAGCTGAATTTTCTTACATGACACCAAATTGTGAGAACGACTGGTCAAGGGGTGGGGGATTCGATTTCTTTCTTTCTGCTCTTAATTGAACTTAATACCCCTTCATGCCGCGCTTCGGTTGGTGAAAGAGAGCGCCGGTGGTTTTCTTTATATAGATCCATATAATACCTTTTTCGCCGCTGCGATGAACGGGTTTGAGAAGCATACGCTGGATGAGGATGCATTTGGGGAGAGGCCCGGAATTGGATCTGGTCTGAGGACTTTCGATGCGTTTCGTAAGTTTCGTCGCCCCTCAATTGCATACTGATATTTTTCGCTACACCCTTTGCTATCCAAGTCTCTATCTCCAGCACCACGATCAAATTCCCAAAGACTAACAAGACCTCAAATCCAACCAACCTGCAGCCAAAACAAAGCCCACATACACCTCTTCAACTGTACGCGGTGGCCAATGGACCATCATTGTCTTCGCTCTGTGCGCCTTCCTCTCCATAAACGAACTCCGCACCTGGTACAGGGGCGTAGAGAACCACCACTTCAGCGTTGAGAAGGGCATCTCGCGCGAGCTGCAGATGAATCTAGATATCGTCGTCGCAATGCCGTGCGACGCACTGCGTGTCAACGTGCAAGACGCAGTGGGCGATCGAATCCTCGCTTCAGATCTTCTCGACAAGCAGCCGACTAGCTGGGCGGCATGGAATCGGGAGCTAAATGTCGTGTCGAGTGGGGGTAGTCGCGAGTATCAGACGCTGAATGAGGAGGATGCCGTGCGCCTGATGGAGCAGGAGGAGGATGTGCATGTGGGACATGCGCTGGGCGAGGCGCAGAGGAGCTACAAGCGCAAATTCCCCAAGGGTCCGAAATTGAAGCGCGGGGAAAATGCGGATTCATGTCGTATATATGGTAGTCTGGTAGGGAATAAGGTGCAGGGTGATTTCCATATTACGGCGAGAGGACATGGGTATTTTGAGTTCGGGGAGCATTTGAGTCATGATTGTACGTTTCTTAACCAGCCAGCCTAGGCCCGTCCCTATGTCCCCGTGAACATCTATTGTTTGATTAAGCCACTAACAAAGATATAAAAAACCTAGCCTTCAATTTCTCCCACATGATAACGGAACTCTCCTTTGGCCCGCACTACTCCACGCTCCTCAACCCCCTCGACAAAACCATCTCCACGACCCCAGCCCACTTCCACAAATACCAATACTACATGTCTATCGTGCCAACCATCTACACGCGCGCCGGCGTCGTTGACCCATACAGCCAGGCCCTCCCAGACCCTTCAACGATAACCCCCTCCCAGCGCGGAAACACCATCTTCACCAACCAATACGCCGTCACCTCTCGCTCCCACGAACTACCCGATGCGGAGTACGATGTCCCGGGCATCTTCTTCAAATACACTATCGAGCCGATCTTGCTGGTTGTCAGTGAGGAGAGGGGCAGTCTGCTGGCGCTGCTGGTGCGGCTTGTGAATGTATTGGCGGGTGTAGTAGTGGCGGGCGGCTGGTTGTTCCAGATTTTTACGTGGGCGATGGATAATCTGAAGAAGAGGCGGAGCTGGTCGGAAGGGGTGTTGAATGGGAGGGTTGCAGGCGATGAGGATGAGTGAGTGGCTGGGTTGGGGAGTTCAATGGGGAGTTCGTACGTCTTTTGGATTGGCCAGTTCTCTATTCATCTATTATTTGCGATTTCCTTTGCCTTCTGGCACCTTTTTGCATGGGCTGTTCTTCCTCTGGGCTTGTTTACTATATTTTTATATGTTCGGTTCCTCCTTTTCACTACCGAAATCTTGGGTGTATGGCGTTATTTCATATGAGTGTTGTATTCCGTTATGGACGCTAAGATGACCGTCGTCACAGTCGATAACATATATACAGCGTTACTCTTTCCCGCTGGGTATTTATTTATGTTAGACTATATTTCCTTTCTCGCGATCAAATATGACTCTGCAGAGGTAGCTAACTGACTCGATCTCGTTTAAAATAGTATGGGAGAGCACAGTCCAGCTTATAAAAAACTTCAATGCTGATAGATTGTTGGCATTAAGAGACTAGAATTTTCAAAAAGTATAGGTTTCAGGAAGGAAAATGGAGATTTGAAAGGGTTAGAAAAACTATGCAAGTTCCAAAGATGATGACTTTAAAATTCGCTGTAGTGAAAATGACACACCAAGAGAGAAATATAGTATGCCGCAACGATAAATAAAAACAGTGAGCCATTAATAGAGAAGCCCGTTCCCAGTCAAATAACATACCACGCCATTCCCAGTAATAACACATAACGCATAATAGATGTTAAACATAACATGACAGCTCATCTTAAGTGATCAATACCAACCAGCATCCAACAAAACACCGGAAACTTGTAGGGGCATGTCAAACCTCAAAAATCTCCCCAAGTCCCACCCCAGCCCCCTGAGCTCCATACCTCGACTCCACCAAATCCAACCTCCACCCCTTCCAATTCTTCAACGTCTCATGAATCTCCTTAACACGCTCGCCCCTCATCTTCTTCTCCTCAGCCGCCTGGGCTGCTGCGTACGCAACCGGATCAATATCCCCGTCATCCCATAGCCCATCGTCCTCGTCACCACCACCACCACCACCGTCGCCCATTTTCTCCGACAAGAGCTGATTCCGTGAGAATCCCGTGCCATGACTCCAAGTCGACCCAGTCCTGCTACGTTGTCCATAGGCTGCAGCCGCTGGACTACCCGAGTCTCCCCTAAAAGCCGCAAGGCCGCTAGAGAGCACGGTAGTGAACGATGAATGTTTCTGCGGCTGCTGCGACCCTTTGCGGCGCGCGTGCTCGGGTCCGCTCCCAGGTACCCCGCCAACGAGATCTATGTCATCAAACGCGGCAGCACCGGCGTCAGTAGACGACGGGCGGTCGAAGGGACGATCCTCGCCCGCGTAGTCGCCCTGGTGGCCAGCCTCGGACAGCTCGCGTTTCCTCTCTTTCCAAATACCACGACGCAGGTCGAAGTTTTCACCCTCAAGCTCGCGCACGCGTCTCTCGAGCCGCTGCCGCTCTTCATCCTCGAGTTCGTCGATAGCTTCATCGTCTCCGGTGTTACTGGCCTCGCGCTTCCGCATGCGATCGCGCTCCTCTCGAAGGCGTAGGTTCTCGTTTTCAATCGTCACGAGCTTGCGTTTGAGCGTTGCTGCGTCCTTTTCGAACTTATCACGTTCGCGGAGACGGATGTTATTTCTGTTTTCTGATTCCTTGTGTAAATTGCCGAGGGCTTGCAACTTTTTCTCGAGGGTCTCGATTTTCTTATCAGCTTCTGTCTTCGCGTATTCTGCTTCTTGAAGTTGTCGTTGTAGATTCTTAATGAGGGTCTCTGTCGAGGTTTTCTCAACCCCCTCCTTTACAGCCTTCTCTGCTGCGCGGTTCAACGAGTGTTTAGTGTCTGTGAGCTCGCGTTGAGCTGCCTCGAGTGATGCTTCGCTCCGGGCGAGCTTTTCTTCCAAAGCAGATATCTGTTCCTGACTAGCAGACGAAGTCGAAGATTGTGAATTGAGCTGGGCGCGCAAGTTCGATATTTCCAATTCCATAGCTTCAATCGTCGCGGATTTAGAATCCAATTGGGCGCGCAAGTCTGACTGGGGTGACTCTGAATTTCCACCTGTAGCTCCACTATTCGTCCGATGCGACTTGCTATGCAGCAGCGCATTCTGCCGTTGTAGCGCTGTGATTTCCGCTTTCTGCGACAATTAACATGTTAGTCCCGAAAAACAAGTAAAAACAAAACCATTGGGCAGTAGTAAAATAGAAAAAAGGCACGACTCACCAACCTCTCCACTTCCTCCGCCCTCTTCTCCGCCTTCCCCAATCGATCCTGCACCTCAACCAACTCCACTCTCGCCTCTCTCAGATCCTCCAGCTTCTCCTCTGACTTCTTCCACCGCGCCCCAGCCTCCTCTAACTCCCGCTCAAGCCGCCTATTTTCCCTCTCCAACTCCTCAAGCCGCAACGCCTGTTTCCTAAACACCTCTGGTACAGAGTCACCATCTGGGCTGAGCGGTGGTAACGAGGGCGATTTGATAATAGTAGATTGGGGAACCGGTTGAACGCCCGTCTGTTGGCTGACGGAGGAGCGGCGGAAGTCGGAGGAGCGGAGTTTCGATTGAACGGATAGGGATTGCTTGCGGGCGTGTGCGGTTCGTGTGGAAGGGGATTCGCTCGTGGTTGTTTCTTTTACGGGCTCTGGTTCTGGCTCTAGGGATTCTTCAGACTCTGCGGCGCGAGGCGAGATGGAGGGTTCTTGGGGGGAAGAGTCTTCTTGTTGTTGTTGCTGTTGCTGCTGCTGTTCTTCTTCCTGGGCTGCCGGAGGAGAAGAGATGGAGGGGGGAACTTCTGCCTCGGTCGTCGACGGCGACGCAGCTCCTCCCTTTTTACTTTGTTCCCCTGTCCCGGCGCCTTTCTTCCTAGCCTTCGCTTGCTGTTTTTGGAGTTGCGCAACCTATCCCAAATAAATAAACAGTTAGAACATGTTTTGTAAACCCAAACACTGTGTAACAAAACGCGCGCAAAATCTGCAAATTTCACCGTGAAAAATTGCGCACGAATTGATCTATCCATCAACAAACGGGGAGGGAGGAGAGATAATGCCACAGTATGCTAGTAACTACAAATGGAGCAAAACACAACAACGTACCCGTTTCTTAGCAGCGGCAAGCTTCTCAGCTTTCGCCTTATCTTCTACGTCCGCCATTGGTATTCGCAGACGTTGGAAAAATGGAGAATCTTTGTCAAGAACGCTAGTGAATTGCAATCAGTAATATACTACCTCCGCTGTGTTTTGATATCGAAGCTGTGTCTTGAACTGAAACATGTGACCCGCAGATTGCGCTTACGTCATCGGTCGAAACACCACGTGACAATGGCAGCTCAGGACCTCGGGAGTACGAAAGAAATCCAGCCGTGATATCTGAAGGGTGTAGGACCATGCCGGACACATTTCCATATTTTTGAGCAGTAAACTTGACATTTAATCTAATGCACCTTCCAAGCATTTGTGAATTGGCCGATTCACCGGAGAAACTTCCTCGAAAGTTAGTTGGAAGAAGTAAGGGAAAAGAATGAGAGGAATTAGTAGAAAATAGTAAAAATACGACAAGTAAAAAGCATCAAAACAAGCAAACAACGAATGCAATATGCCTCCAGCCCCAGAATGGAAAAATCCAGCGAACCGCCCATGCCAGACCCCCGCCCAAGCCTCCATAACCAGATTAGTATGTACATTACAATATATAATAGGAGAGTAGAGACGTGAACTATAGAGAAAACTGCAAGTGAGGGCTGGTATCGTTATCATTCACGGAAAAAAAGGGACTAAGCCAAAGAAGCCATAGAACGCCGGATCCAACGAAAGGCCTTCGGACTCCTCAGCTTAAATCAAATGGCACCATAGACAAAAGTCAAAGCAAAAGTAAAGAAATGGACATAAAGATGTCCACATCCTAGTACGTGGAAACCGTTTCGCGATGTCTTCCCCCACCCTCCATGTTGAGGTCTAGGACGATATAGAAACCTCGACAAGTAGCATCACGCCGCCTCAATCAATGGCAAGTAGAGAGCTACCATGCCACATATTTGTTGAACAAAATAATACGAGTGACGTGAGTTGGGCTGTCAAGCTGGAAGGGAATATTTCAACCTTCACTTAAACCTCCATGGCATCCGCGATTTCTTCACTCATCGCGCGAACCGAGCTCTTGCTGTGAGATATCGAGCGTGTTTCTTCATCGCTAAGTAGATAATTATCATATTCGTCAACAACCGGCCGGCTCGGCCTTGCGGATGCTGCGGGTGATTCATCCTCATCACTACTCGAATCGCTTATTCTGAGCGATGCACGATCACCCAACCAGTACCGGGCACGTTTCCGCGCACCGTAATCGGGCGTTGAGAATCCGTCGTCGCCGTATCGCTTTCCAGCCAACGATGGCGTCGTTGTCCCGTCCTGTGGCTGGCTGAGAATACTGATTCCACGAAGGTAGAGATAACAGACGCGTTTCCGAGTTTTATTGAAAAAGAAATAGTTCAGGCTCCAGATGGCGCCATCTTCACCGTCATATGGGTCTTCCTCGGGCGCATAGCAGAATATGGCGCACTCCTTCAATGACATTTGATCATCCAATATTTTCCACATGCGAGGTCCCCAAGAGTGCGTTGTCGCGGTTGGATGTGGACCGGAGGATGTGGTAGGCGTTGGGGGAGTCACGTCCCTCTCTAGGCGCGGCCGAAGGTTGAACAACGTGGTATCGATGGTATTCATCACGCGTTTCAGGCTTCTTTCGCGGCGGAAGTCGGAGGGACGGAGGAGATGCGAGAAGTCGTAATCGGGGTGGCTGGCATTGAGTGTCGCGATGAGGTACGCAAATGTTCGTCGACTTGAATGTTCACTCAACGGCCCAAACGGACTCGAACGAGATAGGTTCAGCGATTGCGCCGCATGCGAGGCATTGGGAGGAGAGAGAGAGGCCGAGAGGCGCAAGAGGGACTCATATTGCGACTCGAGCGAGTTTTCAATATTCTTGTACAACTTTTTATCCCCTCCAGCGGCTTTTGTGGTATACAGATCGCATCCTCCAACGACGTGGCAGTCTTCGGTGTCAAAGTTAAGGGAACTTGTCACGTCTTCAAACTCACTCAGTGGGAGGAACTATACAGAAATTAATTCTCATCAGCAACAAAAACAATCTAGAGGCAGGTATCCCGAGGGTGGCTCCTTCGGACCTTCATTGTTGTAGATGTCTTGATGTGGATGATGTCGCAAGGTGGTCTGATGATCAGGAGACGATTGATGGTCTTGAGCCCGAGATGGCCGGGTGCAAGGGAACTGGGCTGTTAGGGATAACAGTCTCCAATAATCGAAAAAAGTAGCAGATCAAGATATCTTGAGAACAGAGGGAGAATGATTCAGGCTCGTTTTGCGCTGGAAGCTGACGTGTGAAGCTGAGGTGACGTAGGTGGATTAGCCTGCGTGAGCCAGTCGAAGCAACGATAAGCGCGTTCCAGGCTGGGTGCAAGGACAACTCTTAGGGGATCGACGTAGCCAAACGGTGGACGTCTAGCGGGCAATAGATATGAAACGGTTAGCCATAATGGCGGTTCACTAGAGATAGATGTTGATATGATGGATGCGAATGACGCTGGATTCTTGCTGTCATTGTCGCTGTTTTGGATTGAGGCCGACCGATGTTGCGAACCGGATAGATCACGTGATTGCTCTAGAACCGAGGTGGTGGCGCTATTTCCCCATACGGCAATTGGTGCCAATCGTCAATCAACCGCCACAGGTGCAGGCAAAGCAAGGTCTTGGAGGAGTTTACACTGGGAAAGCGAGGGAGACAGGGAAGTAATGGGGCAGAAGAAGAGGGGAGACCAAGGGACAAGCAGACAAGCAGACAAGCAGATAGTCAGTGAAACTGCGCCGAGCTCATGGGGGAAGGAGGTGATGTGGTGCCTAGTTCCATCCTCTACAAAGGACCACGAAACGATATCCAAAAGGAGACAGAGCTTCGTACACAATTGAAGTCCCCTTCCCAACCCCTGTTGAATGAAATGGAGATATTTAGATGACATCATCGGCAGCCCGAGCACATAAGTGGAGAACGCCAGGGCCGAATAGAATGCCTGAACCACCATAACTCCACCCAGAAGATACCTGCATGTTAGACCAGACGCATTGAACTGATGAATAGACATAACTCCCCGGTGAACATGATGATGCAACATTGAACATCATTCCGCAATTGGAAATCTCTAAAACCCAAGTGCTCTCAGTCCAGCTAGTTCAGCTTCAGACTCCTGTAAGGTTCAATTAAAGGTGATTAGCAATTCAAATGTCTGGAGAACGAATAATAGTTTGAAAAAAAGAAAAAAAAAGGTGCTTCTGTGCATATATTAGATATACGTGAGAAATCCCAGCAAATAATAGACCAATTCCGAACTCCAGTGAAACATGACCAGGGGGGATATAAACAACAAAACAGGATCCAGGGCGCGTATATGAGGACTCGCTAAAAACAACGACGATGGAAAGTTGAGCGTATAAATGAACGTGCTACATAATTTTCGTAACAATATCCTGCTCGACCTGGGTTGCGGATAAGGGGGAAGACGAAATCGTTAGCACGGCTAAATGGAGCAAACTTGACGACCATGACACCAGATTCACAATGGAGGAGAAGAGTGAGATAATCAAGGAGTCTCCAAAAAGAAGAAAATAATAGCCCGAAAAAACAAGGGAAACAAAAACCAGACAATACTGCCGGGCCTCCTTCCCGCGTAAAAGGATGCAATGCATGTAACAGAATGTTCACATTATTCATGGCGGGAAAGGAATAGGGACGCCCGCCGCTTCACTCACCTCCATATCTTCCAAGCTATCCTGTTGCGAAATACACCTCAGCACATTCTTCTTGCTACTCTCCTGCATCTCCCCAGCCAGCAGCAACTCGTCCAGGATGAAATAAGCCTTTTGGAAATTGAAAATGATATCCAGCTCGCAGACGTTGCCATAATACTTGTCCATCTGTTCGACGTAGCGATGGACGATTTCGAGAGTGATTAGCTCATTGTCGTCGGACGAGCAGCCGGCGATGAAGAAGAGGGATGCATAGCGGCGGTAGACGACTTTGGTGTCTGTTATAAGAAAGATTCAAGGGTGTTAATTAAAACGGGCAGTTCATCTTTTGGCTTTTTTTTCCCTTTCTTTTCAGAGAGGCTGGCTGTAGCGAAGTGATATAGGAATTAATTATTTATTGTCCCGCACCTTTATATTCGAGGAAGTTGCACATGCGGGTGCGGCGTGAGAGAACTAGCTGTGTGACATCTTTGATGATTTTGGCCTTGTCCTTAGGAGACAGGGTAGTGAACCATTTCGCCAGTCTCTTATGTAAAATGGAGAAAAGGAGGAAATAATTGCAGTGGTCAGCTGTTGTTTTGAAGTGGTAATAATGGAATGATGATATATGTGTGTGTGGGTGTGTGTGTGGGTGTGAGGACTGTGGTGGGCGACGAGAAAGGGACTGTGGACTGTGGACGACGGGAACGGGGACTCACCACTTTGCCCTGTCTCGAGAGCAGTATTAGGTAGCTGGAGAAAGGGAGGGGATATCTATCAGTTCACTCTGTTTCTGAGGATCAAAAGAAGAAGCGTATTCTGGGCAACTCACTTGATTGCCATCCTCTCGACGGCGGAGAATACCTGGCGCGTCGTGGTGGTCGTGGTGGTGGTGGTTGGTGGTTGGTGGTTGGTGGGGATGCGATGTTTTCTTTTATTTTTTTCTGCCCTATCTTAGTTAGTTAACTAGTTACGCCGCGTGCTATTTAACTAAATATTGCCCCGCCGAAAAAAAAAAGCTTGCAGCCCTTACATTATTAATAATAGGAACATTCTCCGGTCGAGGACAGGCGCAACATCCTATAAATAACTTATCGTCTGCAAATATATAGGCCATTTCTATCAAATTAATTACAGAACCTGATAATATATCAATTTCCTTCATTGACTGCTGCCCGTCATTAGTATTCCCGTATATTTGGCCGTCCCATAGTCTTAGAGAATTCGAGGCGCAACCATGAAGCTCATACTCTCAACATCGTAAGCGCGCAACCCCGCTTCCATGCCAGCCATTCAAACACTCTCAGAAAAGAGAATAAATTAAAATAGAAAATCTAACATTGGCCTCTTATCTCTCTATAGGAATATCATGAGTGGCGGCCCATCTGTCATCCCAAGACTGACCAGCGATAAATCAAACGTCGAATTATTGGACGCCCTCCGCTCCAACTTCGTCGCAGCCCAACATATCGAACCCTCACACTCCAACGGCCCCTCGCACGACATCCACGACGTTCCACAGAAACTCTCATACAGCGATTATACCACCTGGACCTCTAAACAAGGAGATACCCTCTACGTGCCCGCGATCGATTTCTCAGAACCAGGCCTGACCGAAGACCGCGACCAGTATGACATCACCGTCAAGCTCTTCTACCTGCCGGGGATCCCAACCTCGCGCCGCTGCGCGCATACCCGGGAAGCAATTGACCTCGTCCTGAAGACACTACACGTCAACTCCATAGACCTGCTTATCGTCTCGTTCCCCGGCATATCGTTCGATGCAGACGACTCGAGCGAAGAGGAAATATCAGATGGCGATGCCAACGGCAACAACGAGGCGGCGCGACCAAGCACCGGACCAGAAATGGACGGCATAATCCAAACATGGCGGGTCCTCGAATGCCTCAAGGAAGAAGGCATGATATCCCAGCTGGGCCTCTCAGAGTTTGACAGCGAGCGGCTAGCGAAGTTCCTCCCGCACACCAAGGTTCGGCCCGCGGTCGACCAGATTAACGTCAAGGATTGCTGCGTCGTGCCGAAACCATTGATTGTGTTTGCGAAGAAGGAAAATATTAAGCTGCTGACGCATAATGATTGCACTGACATCCTCCCGCCGGGTACGACGCGAGACCTCCTTGCGCGCGGGGAGACGGGGGCGGGGATTCTGGCGGCCAGCGCAACGGCGGATGATGGTGGGTTGGAGGGCGATATTGTGCCGCAGTGGGTTGTGAAGTATACCGCTGTGGTGAAGGATCGCGGCGTGATTGAAAATAAGGGCTATTTTGCGCTAGCGGAGGTAGGAGAATGTATTCGCGAGGGTGAGTGAGTAAATTGTATTAAATATTGTGTAGTGGGAAGAGTGTTTGGTTTCCAAGCGCTGAGCGTTGTTGTCTCTTCTGTCCTTCCTTTTCTTTCTCTTGTGTAAATAAATAACTCCCAACCGCCTCATGCAAGTCTCCGCGGTGGTTCGTTCAGCATGGCGAAACATGTAACTTAAGGACATTTTGGTTTTGAGTTATCTTTTTTCCTATTTTAAATTATTATTCCCCTCTTCGGGCTGCTCTTCTTCTGGGAAAACAAGTTAAAAAATAAATTAAAAAAATAAAACGAAGTAATGAATATGATGTCGTGATGCGCGTTGCCGCCTAGAAGAAATCTGCCCTACCCTGATCTTTCTTTTATTTACCCGACCATGCTCCTCTTCCGCCCGCGCAACCTGACCTGTTCCAGTTTCTTCAGCACCACATTCGCCGCTTTATAGCTCTCAGCATATCCCTTAAGCACCTCGTGGAAGAACGGCTCGGTTCTCGGATGCGAGCTCCCAAACGCTCGTTCCAGCACATATAGATCGACAGCCCGATCCTCATCCTGAACACTCTGTCCCGCCAGGCCAAAATCAATAAGCACAATCTCCCCTTCCAGCGACGGTTTGTTATCCAGAGTAGTAATAGTCTGTAACTCCGCGTCTTGCCTGATAGATGTACTCAAAGGGACGGAGGCGGCGGTGGCAGCGTCGTCGTCCTCTCCTGCCAGCGCATCGACAGACGCAATGGGTCTAAGCATGAGGTTGCTCGTAGTTAAATCCCCATGGACAATACCGGCCTTATGCATGGCACCAACGACAAGCCCGATCCTCCGCAGCAGCGCGCAGATATCCTCTTTGCTCTGTTCGATGAGATCCGCACTTTTAGCATCAGCACCACCAGCACCACCAGCAACCTTCCCCTCTTGCGATTTCAACCATTTCTCCCACTGGTCAACCGCCTGTCTGACAACAATGCCCTCCACCCACTCCATCAATAACCATGCGAACCAGCCAGTTTTATTATCATTCTGATCACTATCTTTGACATTCGTAATGCTTCCCCCCTCAGAAGCAGAAGCACCAATATCACCCACACCAACATCTAGCGCCAGCAAGCCGGGGACAGGAACCTCCTCGCGCGCCAACTTTACCAGACATCGCGCCTCTTGCAGGATGCGCTGGCGGGTCAATCTGCGGTCGAGGATGGGGTGTCGGTATGGTTTAGCGGGGCGGATTTTGAGAGCGGCGGGAGTGGAGGGGGTGAGGAAATTGGTTCTGTAGAGGCGGCCTTCGGCGCCCTGGGCGAGGAGGGTGGCGGGGGAATTTGTGAAGGGAGCGGGGAGAGGGGGAGGGGTATAGGTGTTGGTGTTGGCGGTGCTGGTGGTAGTGGCTGTCGTGCTGGACGACATTGCGGCGGGCGGTGTGTACGATGCGGTGGGAGGGAGGAGGATGTAACGAGGGTATTGATAGTACGGGGATGTAAGAAGTGTGTTTTGGTGTGGAGGAGGGTGTGGAATGCGGGGATGGATGTGGGAGTGTTGCGGATGTTGTTTGATTCAAGTGTTTATTTTCTTCTTTGGGTAATCAATCAATGCTTTATTCCGGTGGTTAAATATTTTAAATATTTAGTTAAAGTTAGCTCATTATAATAGTTTAACTAATTGTTTCAAGGGATCGTCTTCTTTCTCTTCTTCTCTCTCCTCCTCCTTGCTCTCGATTCTCCTTCTACAACAATGCAGTCATACCGCATTGCATATTTAGTTGCTGCAGTGTATCCTCAGTGTTCAGCCCGATAAATGCTTCTCCCAGTCAGGCTGAGAAAAGATCCTCTCCTCCTTGTTCTGCATTCCATATTTACCTGGGTATAACAGCTTGATTAACCCTATTGAATTGATGCTGTGATACCCCCAAGACATCCCAACAGCTCACACACACACACACACACACACACACACACAGTTGCATTCTTCTACATTCTGGAAATATGAGAAGAACAAAGAAATGAATGAGAATGAACCATGAACCACAGCTCTATACACCTTCTTTCTTTTTGCAATGCAAATGGACACAGTAGCCTTGACTGGCTTGGCCGGGGTCGTATCCAATACTGCATCATAATGCCTTGAGATGACAAGCATAATAAGGCTGCTGACCATGGTAAAAGACAGTGCTCTGCTTTCTGCTTCCATCACTTCTACTCGGACAAGGGCTATATGCTATATGCAATCTGTCAGTCGCATATCAAACTGTGGTCACATTGCTCAGGGTCCGAGTTGCGGTGTGTATGCAGAGATATGTGTGTGTGTGTGTGTGTTCAGGACATGAGCATGAGCGATTGACGATGATATGCTTTGCTTTCTCACGATCCTCTTGGACATGCTCATGCTGTGCCTACGATGCAATTCCCTAGGATCGCACAGTTGCTGCTGGAGCCAGCCAAGTTGTATCCGCAAATCTCGGTCTGTCAAAATGTTTCTCTGAACTGTTCACCAGAGCCCAAGCGGATCTTGGGGGGGGGACAGGCCGTTGCATTGCTTCTTCCCTTAATCTCCCTCCCTTATATCTTATATTTATGTACTACTTTTAATCTCGAGATTTAAAATGCTTTATACAAATTAGAGTTGCTCTCATTCCGCCGTTTGTATGTCTGAGCTGGATTGGAGTGATAGATTTCGTGCGGTCACTTCTTCATACTTCCCGTCCCGTCCATCCTATTGTTCTTCGCCCGCAATCATTGATAGCGTTGATATTGTCCTGCGAGCTTCACATCCGCCCTACATCCCACGATTCTTCTTCTGGTCTCTTATTTGGCGATTGATTGATCCATCTCCAACGGCTTCAGGGTGGAGCCTCCAGGTATATTAACACCCTTGCCGAAACGCTATTTTTATTTTTATTATTTTTATTTTTTAACTTGTGTTCAAAGCCACCGGGCCGGGTGGTGTATTCTCCCTGTTTGTATTACTCCTCCTGAAGAACCTTCTCTGCTGTCTCTCCCTTCACTCATGCAGATTGTTCTCTCCATCTCAATGCCTCGTGTAGATATACACAAGGCCTAGGCACAATAGTCCTCGTCGGTTGTTTGTTGCCGGCTATATTATGCCCGACGTGCTCAATGCCCTGCTGCCTCTGTCTCTAGCATTGTTGTGGCTGCCTTTCACTCCTTGTGGTGATGGAGAGCATGCCTGATTGTATATAAATATCTCTACCGAGTAGCAGCAACTTCTCTTTCTTATTTGTTCATGTCATATCTCATACTCAACCCTGTTCTCGTTCGTGTCTCTCTATCATCTCTCTCGCTTGTCTCGCTCCTGATAAGTTGATAAGTTGATCAGATCATCAGCTCCCTCGGTTCTCGGCTTCATAGATTCATTCCCCATCCGTTAACTCCTACGCGTTGCTCAAGAGTGATATCAGCGTATCTCGGTAATGGCGTCTTCATTCGATCCGTTCGACCAGAACGTGGTCTTCCACCAGGCCGACATGACCCCTTTCAACGTATCGATCCATGACCTGGATGATTTCGTTCAGTACGGAACCAGAGTCTGCATCAACTACGCCTCTCAGCTCGGGGCGTCTGTCATTGCGATCATCATGTTGGCTCTCCTGACACAGTCGGAGAAACGTCGGTTGCCTGTCTTCTCCCTCAACATATCTGCACTGATTATGAACTTCGCCCGCCTGCTCTGCATGACCATCTACTTCACTACGGGATTCAACAACCCCTATGCCTTCTTCAGCGGGGATTATTCTCGAGTCCCTGGCAGTGCCTACGCGGATTCCATCTTGGGAATCGTCTTCACTACTATTCTGGTGATTTGCATGGAAACGTCCCTGGTCATCCAAACTCAAGTCGTGTGCGCGACCCTTCCGGAAATTCAACGATACCTGCTCCTGGGTGTGTCCCTCGTTATCGCACTGCTGGCTATTGGATTCCGAATGGGCTTGATGGTTGAGAATTGCATTGCCATTATGAATGCCTCGAATTTTGCCCCTTTTATCTGGCTCCAGAGTGCCTCGAACATCACCATTACCATGAGCACATGTTTCTTCAGCGCTATCTTTGTCGCCAAATTGGGGTATGCCCTCGTTACTCGCAGGCGACTGGGCATGACAAGATTCGGAGCGATGCAGGTGATGTTCATCATGTCCTGTCAAACGATGGTGATTCCAGGTAAATGATCTTTCCCCGCCTATTCACGCAGAATGCCCAATGGATACTAAACGCGTTTTATTTTTGTTCTGGGTGTAGCCATTTTCTCAATCATCCAATATCCGTTTCCAGGCTACGAAATGAACTCCAACCTTCTCACGCTCGTGGCCGTTTTCCTCCCCCTTTCATCGCTGTGGGCTGCAGCAGCGACGAAAAGCAGTTTCGAAACTCTAAATTCCGGCCCGCATCAGTACCTCTGGTCAAGCGAACGTAGCAATAGCACCAGCTCCGCGACCAGGCACCCCGGCAGCTTTTCTCAGAACCAGGCGACACTTCGATCCGGAGGCTCTGTTGCCACGACTCTCTCACCCGACCAACTTGACCGCTTATATACCGATCTTGATGTCAGCGTTAAAGCTTGAATGGAGCGGCTCCTGTATATCGGAATACATCCATTCTCTCACTTTGTTTATATTTTATCCGCGCACACACGTAATGTATGTATGTACATGGGTTCGCTTGACTATTGTGCTTTTTCATAGCTGATTGCTATATCGAGGGAAAGCAAGGTTTTGTTCTCAGTGGCTCATCATTTAGTAGTATCCATGCTTTGTCCAAACTCTCCTTTTTCTACTTATTATTGCGTGCTTCTGATTGGAGGATAAATTACTCCTCGCCGTTGTTGTTTGATATCCCCCTCTTTAGGTATTGTGCATTTATGGAGTTATTACTGTGTGTCTTTTTTCCATTTATCTAGCCACGAGTAGTATGCATTCTTCAACTGTCTACAGCCTACTAGTCTGCAACAAAAATAAAATCTTGATAGTTGAGAACAATATCAAAAGTATTCACCGTGCATCCAGCATTGTTCCAAGTTTCCCTTTATTATTTAATCAAGGTTGTTTGTTAGTTCTTGCGCTAAGCCCGGCAGCAAAAACTCTCGGCGCTTTGACCAGCTGCATCATAACCATCTCATCAATCATCATCATCATCTTCATCTTCATCATCCCCACCGCTCACCACCTCCAACCCTAACCATCTCCACTAAAAGAGGTGCGCCATGTCTGTTGGGCTTTCTCCTGCACCACAATCATGGCAACAGTGCCACAGAAGACATTAACTTGGCTATATCGAGTACTAACGAACGTAAGTTTGTGTGATTCATGGCTCCTCCTGCAGCGAAACCGCCAGAAATTTGATTGCTGGCTAACCACTAAGCCCCGCCTCTCCGCGTTCTCAACAGCCCGAGTACGGCCCTAATCAAACATATCGAGACCCAAACAGAATATACAACGACGTAGTAAATCTACTGGCTCAATACCCTGGCTTCGCTCCCCGAACGGATGTCTATAGTTAGCTTTATCCATCCCTCTCCTCCCTAGCCCTCCTACATCCTCGCCGCGCGAAACTAGCTCGCAGTTTTCCCATATTTTGCGGCTTAAAGCTAACGAAGTTTCTGTTGTATGAATAGCATATGAGAATGGCGTACCCGCTTTGCTCCTACACGTGGCAGGAACGCTACCCGTCACATTTCGCGGAGCTGTGTATCGATTTCCGATAACCATCTGGGTGCCCAAGGCGTACCCGCGTGAACCGCCGATGGTGTATGTCACCCCGACGCCGGATATGCTAGTTCGCCCCGGTCAACATGTTAGTGGGGAGGGAAGGGTGTATCACCATTATCTGGCACACTGGTCGGAGGCATGGGATGTGAGTGGCGTGCTTTTCTAATACTGGCGAATGGCTTTAGTTTCGTCAAGAGAGGGTTTTTATGGTGAAGCATGGTATCAGTATCTATATGATACCGGGGAAAGGCCTGTACTGACTTCAAATTTAAACTAGCGGTCAACGATCGTTGATTTCTTGTATATCCTCAGGGACATCTTTGCGAAGGAGCCTCCCGTGATATCAAAGCAGCACCAGAATATACGACCTATCCCCCCGCACCAAAAAGCCACGCCCCCTGCCGTTCCTCCCTTACCACGAGAGCTTGCTAAGGCTGTAAGCCCATCCCCCCCACCCGTACAACAGAGTCAGGCTCCTCCCCAGTTACCTCCGAAACCAGGCCAAGTGGTGGAGCCAGAAAGGCATCGGGACCAATCCGCGCAAAAATACAACCAACCACCGCCCCTACCCCCGCTCCCCGGTGATATTCGTCATCAAAGATCTTCGTCGCAACAACTGAATCATGACCAAATGTCAAACAATAATGGAATCTATCATGCTCCGCAGCGATCTAGTAGTTTGAGACAGCCCATATCGCAAGCGCAGATGAAACCCCAAACCCCACCGTTACCGCCGAAACAAGGCTACCAACAAGCCGGATACCGACCAACACCCGTCGGGCCTGTCAGCCCGGTTCCTGGACAGAATATGACAGCCCCACCACATATCCCCCAGGCATTCTCCTACCAACACCAGCAGCAACCACTCCCCCCCCAAGGTCCATATATGCAGCCCCAAACTCAGACCGCTGCGCAGGGCCAGCCTCTACCTCGTCCCATTCCCGCACCATCTTATGGACCTTCTCCAATGCCGCATCACGCTCACCCGCCGCAGCCACCATCCTCAGCAGCGAAGAAGGCCGAAGCACGCGACCCCCTCAACTCACTATTCGAACTCGAGCTTCCCCCCTTATCTACACCACCAGCTGCACCGCCTATCCCGCCAAATCCAGAAAAGGACGCCCTTCTCCGCACCCTTTCCCAAACCCTTACCCAAACCCTCCAATCAACCATCTCCCAGACAACCTCCCGTCTTCAACCACTACATACACAATCCCAAGCCCTCCAAGCCGCCATTACCACTCTTCAATCTGAAATATCCGCCCTAAACTCCTTCCACTCGACCCTCCAATCCAACACATCCATCCTTCAACAATCCCTACAACGTGCCGACGGCGTCATTGCAGATGCGAAATCGCGCTTATCTACCAACCCCCCGACAGATGCAAATGTCTCATCTACCGAGCCGTCGGCAGCTAGTACAGCAGCGGCAACGGCAACAGCAACAGTAGCGGAGCGTCAAGAGGCTACCGGCCTTCCTCCCATTGACGACGTCCTCGTTGCGCCTACTGTTGTTGGGAAGCAGCTATATGACCTCATCGCTGATGAGCGGGGCATCCAGCGCGCCATATATGCGCTGCAGGATGGGTTGGTGAAGGGGCGAGTGAGTGTTGAGACGTGGGCGCGGCTGACGAGGGGACTGGCGCGGGAGGCGTTTTTGAAGAGAGCGCTAGCGAGGAAGGCGGGGTTGGGGATGGGGTTGGTTATCGAGGATGGAGAGTAGTGGGCAAGTATCCCCCATCGCGCGTGTGAATTAGTTAGGATCGAGGGGTGGTTTATCTATTTTATCATGAACATAGAAGTTTTGGAGTTGTCAGCGAGATACCTAGATGAATGTATGTGTGTATGTTACATGTACATAGCTAGCTAGCTACCTACCCATCGATCTATCTAGCGAGATTCACACGCACGTTTCTAGTCTAAGCAATCAATCAGGGAGCATTCTACATCTATGTACGCTACGGCGCGACTACGATTCACAACACACACCTGTTCAAATGGCTGCTAATATGAACACGAAAAAATGAGACATGGAAGCCAGCTCGCGTTCATACTGCTGTACCCCAATATCTAGATAGATCTTGGATCTCCCGATCCACCCGAAAGTTTAAAATATCAGTTATTTTTTTTCTTTCTTCTACATTCAAAAAGCTTTACATTTTGGTGAGGAAGTATTTTGTTTCGCGAATGTAGAATCGCCCTCTTGCAAGTTTTATGATAGTGTATCTCGATTTGTAGTCCGGGACACAGTAGAGTAGCTGCTGGGTGTTGCGACAGAAATAAATAAATAAATAGATAAAAAGCCCCTTTTTCGCGCCTTGACGCGTGGTTCGACCCCGGACGCCCCGACCCGGATTAGAAAGCAGGTTTTTCAGGGAAATTCCTTGAATTTTATTTATTTTATTTTTTATTTTTTATTTTTATTTTTTGCATTTACTCCTTTTCGTCTAATCCGTATTTCAATCCCTTAATAATTAATAATTAACAGTCACGGGCGTCGCGACAAGCTATACATATCCAATCTGGGAAATACCAAAAGATGCGCTTCCTCGCCTTCCTCCCCCTCCTCCTCGTCGGGCTCTACAAGCTCGACCAGGCCCTCCCGCGATTCTACATCTTCGACCCGCAGAGGCTCCAGGAGCTTTCCAAGGCGTCAATTGAACGCCACCCGAACAATGTTACTGAGTTAATGACGGATCTCAACCTGGCGCTGCGTCAGGAGTATGGGGAGAAGCATGTGTTGCCGTTCGATACGGATCCGGCCCGTTGGGTTTTCAGGTGAGCTTTTCGGGGGCGTGCACAGTCGCCCCCTATATCCTGAGTGACGGGAGAGGGGGAGAGGAATTCGATGAGGAAAAGAGAAAATCTTTCGTTTTTCTTTTCTTTTTTCCGCGACGCGCGCGTGCGAACTTCTTCTAACCTTCTTCTCTCCACTCCAGCAACCACGGCAACGCAATGGGCGCAATGCTCATACTGCACGCGTCGATTACCGAATATCTCATCTTCTACGGCACGCCGCTGGGCTCTGAGGGCCACTCGGGCGTTCACCTCGCAGAAGATTACTTTACCATACTGCAAGGCGTGGAGCGGAGGTTTTTGCCCGGAGAGCTTGAGGCGACGGAATATTATCCCGGTGACCAGAACTGGTTGAAGCGCGGGACTGGATCGCAGTATCAATTGCATGGGTGGGCGTTGGAGTTGGCGCAAGGTGAGGATTTCTGTCTCCCCTTTTGCTCTTTTTTTTTCACTCCACATTTCTTCCGCTGTGGTTCCATCGTCACTCAAACTTTGCTTCGATTTTCATGTTTGGTATATATACAAGTATGCTAACTTTTTTTGGCTGCCTTGCTTGAACAGGCTGGATTCCATCTATGCTTCCGTTCGGCTTTGTCGACACGTTCACGAGCACGTTGGACGTTGTGAATCTCTGGAAGACTGTATACTGGACCGCCAGGGGAATGGGTGTGCAGCTATTGATCGGGAAATTTTAATCATCTTGTCTGTGTTTCTACGTTTTTCCTTTCCCTGTATATATATATATATATATATAGACTCCAGATTTTTTAGGGACTTTTTTTGTCGGAATAGACCTTTTGGTAATTAATAATAGAACATACTGTCAAAAGAACAAGTTGCAATGGGCCTGGAGTAACCAGCGACTATTTCCGATTCTCATCTCCAGTTGTTTCTTGGTCCGTCAAAACATACCAATGGCGCTCCCCTCGGTGTTAATTAATGGATGAGCCTTGCAACGACCTGCGATTGGTTTGCAGATATTCAGAAAAACTCCTCTAACGTCGCAACGCATCAACAGTTGAAAAAACGGCCGACCAGTGCTGCAGCGCGCGGGTGTACCTGGGAATTTTTTGCCGCGCGGGTGTCAGGGGCAGGGTCGCGCTTGGCGCCAATGGAACGCCCGATGACATCACCGAAGCGTAATTGCGGCCATGTTTTTATCGGATGATATCATAGGGGTATTTACTCCCATTAGAACTTGGTTTTTTTGGATAGATGGGGGTTACGTAGCTGGGATAGATTGGGTATATAAATCTGCCTGATGTCTCTTAAAGTCTAGAGTATTTTCTTAACCAACAACATCAGGACAGTCATTCACATCTTCTATCAGTTCCGAGATCCGAAAACAACTTACATATATCGTCAACATATATATATACATTTACTACCCAACACCATGTCTTCCAACACCAATAATCCCCAGCCCCAGGAAACCAATTCCACCTACCTAGGACAGGCGTCGAACGTTGTCAAGAATGCCGTGAACAAAGTAACAGGAAGCAACCCCACCGATGACAAAGAGACCAAGAACGAAGTAAGAACCTTCACCCCATTTGTCTACAGAATATATCTAACATCTCACGCCCACCCACCCAGACCCAATCCCAACCAAGCGGCCAATATAACCAAACCGTCGGCTCCGCCAAACAATCCGTCGGCGCCGCACTCGGCAACGAAAACCTCCGCAAAGCCGGCGAGCGCCAGAACAAAGAGGGCGAGGAGCAGGAGGCACGCAGACAGGCGGCAAAATGGGGTGAAGGCGCCGGAGACCGTGTAACGGGCAAAGTCGGCGAGTTCCTCTCCGGTCCTGGGTTCGGCGGCAGTGACCAGGAGAGAGCGCAGGCTGAGGCTGAGAGGAGGAAGTTTAAGCAGATGCATGCGGAGGGGAAGTCGCAGCAGAAGGAAACGGAGCGGGAGATGGAGAATCGGTGGGCGGATAAGGGGGAGCAGACGGGGTAGAAGTAGAGGTGTTTTCGGGTTTTTCTTTTTTTTGGTGAAATACGGTGGATTTAGTAGGGATCTTGTTTTCTTGTTTCTTTTTCTCATGGCTTTTTTTTTCCGACCTGGGCCATGTCATGATATCCGGCTGGGGTTATCAGTAGTTTTAAGTTGTTGTAGATGAATTCTTTCCAAATTTGCCAGAATGATATACGTTGAACGTTATGGTTTCCCCGTTATGTGAATACGCCGCCGCTATAAAAAGAAAGGTGCGTGGTCGGAACAGATTCGAAGAAAAGCCTTTGGAATAGTTATTGCAAACATTCATGTATATAACACATGCCAAACATCAAGACCTAGATGGTAGGTTATAAAAGCAGGAATAAAATACTTAACTAGACTCTATCATCGACATTCTCTACCAAGCACATACATGTCCTTCGTCCTGATGCCAGCTTAGTTTAACCTTCAAATATGATGAATTCTCACTTTCCAGGCGGGAACGAACCCACGAACAACTAACTCCAAGGGTCCAGCCGCCTTACTCGACTGTAAGACCTCAAAAGCCATTGGGGAACTTGCGCATCTGGCCAAAATAGATTGTTATATTTGCGGCGATGTTTATCGGTATGCAGCCCGTAAAAGGGCCGCATTCTGAGCGTACGAACGGGTGTGCCATGACCGCCCATTCAACCTCTACATAAATCCAGTCGAGAGGGAGAGATTATTTCACCCTTACTAGGTGATGCCACTCTGTCGCAAGCGGGGAAGTAGATATAACTAACTATAGTATTAATCCAACCACCAATAGCCAAGGTATAGTATAGTCGTGTGCTAACGAGCCGATACTCAGTATTTCATAAACTGCTACCTACCCCCCACCTAAAACAAGTAGCCGCAATCCAACAATACGCCGAACAAACACAGCGTCGCAGTCGACGGCAACGAGATCGGCATAACAATCAGCCTGGCCATCTCAGAGCGCGCATCGGGCGGCTACGCCCTCTTCAATGCCCAAGTCAACATTGACAGCAACGGCACCCCATCCTCGGCGTGTACCGCAAACCCCAACCCGCCCACCTGCGCGGAGCGCTGTGTCTGGGCGCAGGGCGCGACGGCTCTCGACGCTGCGCTGCTACGAGACCGAGGCCCGGTATGGGGTATGGCCTGGGCGGCCTGTGTTGCTGGGGGCATACCATGAACGGGGCGCGGCGAGGCGCTGATTGCGGAGAAGCAGCAGCAGCATGTGCATGCCTGCCGGCGCGTGGCCGGCGCTCTCTACCATTGCGGGCCTTGAGGCGGTGGCGGATTTGGCGCAGATAGGCGCGCTGATGAAGAAGCATGCGCTGGCGGCGCAGGTGTTTATGATCTCGGCGGCGGATTATGTGTTGATGAGAGCTGTCGTAAGGTGGCTGCGGGAGAATCTGGGGGAGACGGATATGGTGACGGCTGGCGGGGGGTGGTATCTTGCTGGGCCGGTGACGGGGGAGCGGGAGCAGCTGCTGGAGGCTGAGATTGATCTCGCGCAGGTAGCGAGCGAATGTTAAGTAAGGTCTGGATCGATGGTGCGGGGCACTCCTCCAGGCCTGAAGTGGTGCAGTATACGCTGTGAAATCAGACTCCTCCTATATGAGATGATGAGAAGGTTGGCGTTCTCCCTTCCCTTCCCCTGCGGAATGCCGTCTCTGACGGGGCCGCGGATAAATAGGAGGGGACGGAGGGTAATAAAAATAAAAACAGCTTGTCATAGGAAGAGAATTCGCTCCCTACCCATATACATATACCCAAGCCCCCTTCGAATTCGCTACCCTTATTCTTTATTGTAAATAAAGATCTATTGGGAGCGTTGGCAAACTGCTCTCTTCCATTGCCCACTTAAATCTTAGAATCAAAAAGACGGGACAGGCATATTCTGTGTGATGATGATGTAGAAAATCATGATAGGCCAAATCATGATTCGTTTCTGTATTCATTCATTGGTGGTAAGTAGTAGCTTTCACCTGAGACGTAAAGATGTGAAAGCCCAACAAGAACTTTTTTTATAAAAAAAAAGAAGAGAAAAATACACCTGGGTAGGGGGATGAGCCACATCCGTCCGGAGCTATCGACAAGTAAGTAGCGAGACATATCAAAAGACACCAGACCTACCAATCCAACCAAAAACTAGGATGGAGGAGAGAGGACGGGTAATATATACAAACCATCCATAATGACACGTATCCAAGCATTATACAAAAAGTGAGGGACGGATGATGTAGCGTACATGGACATGAGACAAATGTAACGTCTATATTAGAAAAAAAAAAAGGGGGGGGGGGAAGGGGAAAAGAAGAACATCCAAAACAAAAACAAAGTGCTCATCATTTACAACCATCAAAAATCCAATCCAATCCAATGTCACCCACCAGCAGTGACGCACGGTGCCGATGACCCCAACATCAGCTTTCATCCTCATTCTCGTCTGTTGCTCTTGACCCCGCAAGTCTCAACAGACTTTAGTTCTATTTATTTATATGCTGCAAAAGCCCATCTGGTTCATTTTGGGTTACCTCCTAGTCGCCCTTGCAGGCCCGTGCTTCGCCAACTCCTTCACCAGCAACCCCACAGCCGGCTCGCCCGTTTCATCGCGCGCCTGCTTCAGGAACGGAATCAGCGCAGTCCCGCCTGTTCCCCGCAGGCTCTTGCTTCCGCCTCCACTCCCCGAGGCCGGCGCAACAACCACGCCATCCCCAGTCGCAGCCACGGGACGGGCCAAGTTGACCGCGCGGGCCTTTCCGGCGCCGCCAGGGGCCGCACGCGGACTACTGGCAGATCTGTCGTGGTGTACGCGCGCCTCGCGCGCTTTGATGATGATGTACCGCGAGACCATCTGGATGTGTTTGTCGCGCATAGCGCGGAGGACGGCCAGGCAGGAATCGTAGGCGGCGCAGAGGGCGCTGTCGGCGCTGTGTTTCAGGACGTAGTCGCGGATATTAGCGACGCTGGCGACGTGTTCGAGGAAGCGTCTGTGCGGGCCCGGCATGTACGAGCGCATCTCCATGATGAAGTTGTGGCGCTTGTTGGGCGGGGCCTGGCTGCTGCCTTCGTCCAACCCTGGGGGGGAGGAGCCGAGCTCCTCCCGATCGGGGTTCTTGTTCCGCATTTCGCCCGTAGGGCGGTGCTCGATGTTGAGGACTATGTCGAAGAATTGGATTAGGGAGCTTTGGGCGTTGGAGCCGCCGCTGTAGTAGTGGCGGGTTTGGGAGCCGGTGCCGTCATCGTAGATGATGCCGTCCGGGAGGCCTGCGTCGCTCATGTTTCGACTGCCGGCCAGGAAGGGGCGGATGCGGTGGTAGAAGACGTGGGGGTCGCAGTTCTCGTACATGCGCTGCAGGATGTCTGAGATCTCGTCGATACGTTGGGCGAATGTCCGTAGGCATTCAATGACTAGCTGTGTGTTATTTTGGCGGGCAGCGGCGATGGCGTTGAGCATTAGGGGGATGGTGGAGGCGCCGTGGGATTCCATGGCGATGGAGACTAGATAGAACCATTGTTCGTCCAGGGAGCCAGTGAAGGTGAAGAGCGAAGTAATGTTTTCGATGTTGTCGGCCGGTTCTTCGGGGAAAATGGGCTTGTAGTTCCAGAGGCATAGGCTGGAGTATGTGGCCACGGGGGGAAGTTCGTGGTGTGCGGAGATTTTGAGGAGGGGGATTGAGATGGATTGGGGGATTATCTGGAAGATAGATGCGTCATTATTAGTTAGTTTTTTGATGTTCGCCAATGTGTATGCTGTGAAACCAACCCCAATTCCCTTTCTCTGGAAAAATATATATACAAGTGTGCATGCATATACACAAAAGTAAAAAGTAAAAAGCCCCGGGTAAAAGGCGCCGCGGATAAAATTTTTTTTTTTTAATACGTACCTCAGCCGGAGAATCACCACCCCAGATATAGGCATGCAGCATGAACGCCAACAAAACATACGCTCTCCGCCATTCCGGTTCAGATTTCAGTTTCGCGGTCGAGAGAATTGGCATGTTATCAATGGTAGGCCGCAACCGATGGCTGAGCAGCAAGGCCTGGAGGTTGGTGACAATGGACTCCCATTTTGCATAGTAAGGGTCTGGTAGCCTCTGCAGCGGGGTTTCTTCTGGGAGGAAGCCTGTGACGGGGGAGATGCCGTAGTCCTCGAGTGAGGGGAGGGGCGCAAGCATATCTGACAATCCTAGGAGATGTGTCGAGAGTAGGACTAGTTAAGGTGGCGAGGGGTAGGACGGAGAAGAGATAGATGGCCGATGCCAGATGCCTGCGGAAGAGGAAGAGGAAGAGGCAAAACGAGAGATATTATACAAATAAATAAATATATGTGATATATATATATATATATATATATATACGTATAAATAAGTATGTTTGTGATATGTGGCCGAGGGCGGGGGGGGGGGGTTGGGTTCAGCACGGGCGGCGGCGGCGGCAGGCGGGGCGGAGATTTAAATCACCAGAGAACAAGAGAAAAAGAGAATAGGAGGAGAACACGAGAAAAATCAGATAGGAAGAGATAAGAAGAGATAATGTACGGAGTAGTTAAACAGGTAAAAAGAGACACTTTTATAAACCTAGGATATATTTTGTATGGGGGTTTCCGGGACCGAAAAAAAGCTAATAATATGCGACGATAAAAGAATTTTTATATAATCCCGTCGCCACAAAGAGCTTATTAACTATTTTTTTCTATTTTTTATTTTTTTTCCCCTTAACAAATCTCAGGGATATATTTCTCTCTGAAGAGATAGTTAACTATCAAAATACCATTATATAACCGACCCCCGTCTCATCCCTCGGCCAGAGCTCGGGGATGGCTCGCATAGAGGAACATAGACGGCGCCGTAGCAGCCATCCATCCCATCATCCCCATCCCATCCCCATATGCCCCATCCTATGCCCATCCCATGCCCATCCCATGCCTATCCTATGCCTATCCTATGCCTATCCCTGGCGGCAGAAATGCGGTTAGACCTGGCAAAGATTGTGTGCAGGCGTCTGGTTTGGCCCCTGATGATCCCGGGTTTCGTGCAAAGGGCAATAGCAAACAGCAGAAACGGCTCCATCTAAGCCACTGGATATTAATTTGCAGTTCAAGCGGCGTGGAAAGGATAACTTACCCGGCTAGCTTGGCCTATTATTATTGGCAATGGTTTTGATCCGAACCCGAACCCGAGGAGGAGGAGTATTTAATTAGCAGCGTAACTACTCCGTTATATTAATATTTTATTATCCTGCAGCGATTCGCTCATGTTACTCCGTACTCTCTCTCTCCGGAGTACATACTTGACGAATGAATAATGAATAGTTCCACTAATAAATAAAAAGACGAGAATAAATAGTAAATATTATTATTAAATAATAATAATATACACCGAGAACCGAAATTTCTTCACTTTATTACTCTAAAATAAATAAATACTAGTTACAATCACGTGCTCTTTTCCCTGTTCCAAGCAATACAACAACTATGACATACTATTTGGAATTAATCCTGCCCTGTTGCATCACTGCCGGTCGTTAATTCGAAGCAATGACAAACACTCAGAAGTAAGCTAGTTTTTTTTTTTTTTTTTTTTTTTTTTTTTTTTTTTTTTTTTTTTTTTTTTTTTTATACGCCTCCGTAACGCTAGATGAAAACCCGTCCGTCTGTTTCTCGAATATACTAGATGCGGGGGACAATCATTTGCCGAATACTATGCAAGGACATTAATTCTACTTGTTTTATGGCTTCATCCGCCTGATCATGCGCGAGAGGATAGATGGTGGATGGTCGTGGTCAACTGTACTAAAATATATAATAATATAATGTCTGGTTTTGAGTAGAGAGAATACGTGAACTGATATCATAAATGATTTTTTGTTTTTCTTTTTTCTTTTTCTCATAACTTAGCATTTTGTCCATCCTACTACCCATTTCGTTTTTTTTTTGTTGAGCAACAAAAAGGAGTAAAGCGAACTGCCTGATATAATAATAATAATACAAAAGAAAAAATGGATATACAGAAAATGATCAGGTTGTTTAAAAGAAACCCAGATTCGTGGAAAACGCCCCACAAGAACATGATAACATGGTAATCGGACAAGTAGCTGAGCAAAGAGGGAAGGAAAGAAAATCAGTCAACAAATGGCTTGCGAATGTTGGACGGGTATGAGGGTTGCTAGGTGGTTAATGGTTAGGTGGTTTAAGTGGTTCGATATCTCATGAAAAATACCCGGCCATAAGAGGTAAAATTAGGCTGGTATAAACACAAGGCAGTCATGGTGGGAAAATTGAAAAAGTAAAAACTCTTCGTCGCAGAGATTGAGCGGAGGATATTCTGGTATCAAAATCAGGTAATAAAACCCGGGCCGGTTAAAATACCAGCGTGTGTTTTTTTAATGCTGGCTCCATTCGATCGTGTTTAGGTCCACCCCCTCCTGCACTAGTTCCCATAGGGGGCTAAGCTCCCGTAGGAACGACACGCGCTCTCTAACAGCCTGCAGTACATAGTCGATCTCGCGCTCTGTCGTGAATCGTCCGATGCCGAACCGGATACTGCTGTGCGCGCTCTCGTCGCTGTTTCCAAGCGCCCGGAGAACATAGCTGGGCTCCAGTGAGGCGGAGGTGCACGCACTACCAGAGGACAATGCGATATCCTTGAGAGCCATCAGGAGGGACTCACCCTCGACGTACGCGAAGGATACGTTGACACAGCCGGGATAGTGTTCTTCGGGATCACCGTTTAAGGTGGTATGCTCCATTGCGAGGAGGCCGTCCAAAAGCCGTTTGGACAGAGCTTTGATGCGTTTCGCATCATACTAGATTTTTTTGGCGGAATTAGCAAAGCAATCCATAGTAGATAAAGTAAACAGACATATATGGATAGAGTAAAAATAATCAAAATCACCGAATCAACGTCATAACCCCTGCTATGTAGATCAAAGATAGTCGGTAAACACAGCAAAAGCCGTGCAGCTACAACCAACCACTCTCAGAAAGCCATGCATATATTAAGCATATAATCATTCGAGGTGCGAAGAAACAAATAAGAGAAAACGATAAAGTTGAAGGAAAACCAAATGCCGCTTCTTCCGCATTCCAAAAGTAACAGAAAACGAAAAGGAATTATCTCTTACCTCCATTTCTTCCTTTGCAATGCGGCACGCCTCTCCAATCCCAACGGCAAGATGGGGAGCCAACGTCCCGCTCCGGAGTCCTCTCTCTTGGCCACCACCCGTAATGATGGGGTCGAGACGAACTCTCGGCCGTCTCCTCACATAACAAGCTCCAATGCCTTTCGGCCCATAGATCTTGTGGCCAGAAATTGAAAGGAGATCGACATTCCATTCATTAACATTGATGGGGATTTTGCCAACGGCTTGCGCAGCGTCGGTGTGGAAGAACACCTTTTTCGACCGGCAAAGAGCTCCGATTTCTTTCACGGGCTGTATAACGCCAATCTCATTGTTCACCGTCATGATGCTCACCAACGCCGTTTCGGGACGGATGGCAGCCTCAAGATCTTTCAAATTTATTAATCCATTGCTCTGCACAGGAAGGTATGTCACTTCGAACCCTTCATCTTGGAGGTGTCGACAGCTATCCAGAACACATTTGTGCTCTGTCTGTGATGTGATGAGGTGCTTCTTCTTTCCCGACCGGCCGAAGAACTTCGCAACACCCTTAATGCTCATATTGTTACTTTCCGTCGCGCCACTGGTGAAGATGATTTCCTTCGGATCCGCACCAATCAGGCTAGCAACATGCTCTCTGGCCTGTTCCGTGGCCTTTTCGGTCTCCCATCCGTACGCATGTGTCCTCGAATGCGGATTGCCGTAAAAGCCCGTGAGGAAAGGGAGCATCGCGTCAAGCACACGTGGGTCTGTAGGTGTTGTGGCTTGCATATCGAGGTATATAGGCCGATTGCCTTGCTCTAGGACGGTAGCTTGCTTCAAAATACCACTCGATGGATCCGTCAGGCCATCGCCGCTCGCCGCCGTGCCCAGCACGGTGGTACCCTGTGGCCGGACACCAGTTTGTTCGACGAACGACTTCTGGCCAGTTTTCATGGCGACATCCACGTCCAAGTCCACATGGGCCTGAGCTCTGGCTGGCTTCGATTCAGACGCATAGCACCGTCTGGCTGCCGTTGCCGCTATTCCGGGAACAGCTGGCCGGACAGAGGCACGTCGGCGTGGACATGCACGGAGTGCCTGTCGAAATGCGGAGGGTGCCAAATTCGACATAATGATGGAAGGAAAAGGCGTGTGGGATTGTTGTGGGATGGTTAAGTTGGGGCGAAAGCTGAAGCTGGGAAATCCTCGATTTGATAGTTAACTAAAGGCGGCGCTGACTAATTCAGTTGGCAAATTTTGCCCCGAAAAAGCGGAGAATTCTAGCACGTGACCGGAGTGAACCTTAACAACTCCGCTTAGCCCGAACGAGAAGAATATACGATTTTTTGTTAGTTACTAGTAAACTACAGGTGGTTGAACAAAAAGGAATGTCATGGATATTGAGGACACTGAAAAGCTGGCCAATTTATTACATGTTGAATCCAAGCAACTACGCCCTACCCATTCATTCACCAATAATAATACGAATACGACGAAATGCATACTACGCAGCGTAGTATGGCTGACATTATTGTCTTGCCGGATGGTCAAAACGGAGGAATAAAAAGCCCCTTATTCAATCTACCTTTGGGGTCATATGTTGTTTTAACATGACGGAGTCGGTCATAGTTCGGCCCGAAGATCTATCATATAAGCTATCGTCAGCTCTGACTTGACCTCAAGATTGTGAAAAGAAGACGTGAAGAAAGAGGAAGCAAGAAAGGAAAAAGGAAAAATTGTGGCACCGGTTGGGCGAAAAGTAAACTCACCTGGCTCAAATCCTGGAACTCCTGGATAAAGGCGGGCCAATATTCGCTGGGTTTATGAGCAGGACATATCTGCGTGGGAGCCTTTTCTAAAAGTCCCGAAACCACCTCAGCGGGACAGTCTGCTTCGGGAGGATGCATCAAAGCGAACTGAAGAACATGCTGTGGCTTCGTACGAGGCCACGCTGTCATGGCGGCTCCTCCAGCAGAAGTTAGAGTACCCTGTGGAAAGGCATCAACATCGGGCCTAAACAGAGATGTTTAAACAAGCGAGCGGCCACACTCACTTTGCCTAAGATTTCCAGAACGATCAAACTACCAGATCCCAAAGTTCTGTTCGTTTCTACTGCCTCCTTGTAGAATTCTGCCATTCGGACGACGAAGTCGGGATCAATAGATTCAGAGCCGACTAGTGGTGAAGACAGCATGATGGTATTTCCCGCTGCCATCCGAAGCGAGGCTGAAAAGGAGCAATGAGTGTGTCAGAGTCGATGCAAATTGTCTGTGACATAGTTAAGGTATATATACATACCTGTAGAATCATTTACTTCACGAATAGTCATTTCCTTGGTCATGTCTACTGCACCTTCAATGTCGAAGGCCCATTTGAAACCCAATTCACTCCTCCCATGCTCTTCCCCATGGGCATCGAATATATTGATTGCTATGCTAGGCTGCGGAATGGCGTCTGAGCCCGTAGGGGGGTCGAAGTTCATAACCACGACGTGTGCCGCAAGTTTTGGATCGGTCAATCTTTTCACAAAATCGGATGCCCCCTTAGATACAGCTTTTATTGCAGTTTTTGGAAACGCAATCGTTCCCGCGAGGATCTTCTGTGGGCAGCGGTACACCTTGATTTTGAAGGCGGAAACAACTGGGTACCCAGAGTCTTATCAAACGCTGAAACACTTCGGATGACTAGAGGGGAAATATTTAAGTTCGCTTACCTCCAAAGTTCCCCCCTCCGCCGCGAAGTGCCCAGAGGAGCTCTGGCTCCGTTGAAGCCCATATCATCCTACCATCCGGCAGCACCACATGGGCATCAAGAAGGTTTTGCGGATCTGAGCAAAGACCATACTCCCCGGAAAACCATGACATCCCGCCGACGAGAAGGGAGCCCGCAACTCCAACGAAAGGCACCCTGGTGCTCAAAACTGCGAGACGAAACAAGGGGGAAGGAGAGTAGTTAATAAAACTATCATTTTAATAGCACGAGGACAGACGCGTTTATAGGGCCGAACCTGTGTATCCTGGGGCCTCCTCTTCCATCTTCCTATCGACCTCTCCCCACGTCTGGCCAGCACCAATAGTTACCGTCTCACTGCCCCGATCGAATTCAAAAGCATCAAAAGCACTCATACTCAGTTGAACATCCTTCGCGCCAGCTGTATTGTTACCACCGGACCGGACTGCGAAATCTAGGTCTGAGGCACAGAGATACTCGACTGTTCTCTGGAGTGCGGGAAGCGACTTTGGTCGTAGGACCAGTTGTGGTTTGGGGTTATTGTACACGGACCAGAAATTCGTCTCCGAGGCATACTGGTCGGAGGTAGGCTCAATGATTTCGTCGGTAGCTAGAAAGCTCCTTAGAGTTGATATGGCCTCAGAGAGGAACGCCATTGTGTGTTAGGCCCCGTCACGTTTAAAGATCTTTTTAAAATGAGGTCTGTTTTGATCGAATATAAGGGCTTCCCTCCTTTGTTGTGCTGTTTCTATTCCGCGTCCTTTTTTTTTGGCATGCGGGAAATCATAAAATTGCGCTCCGGGGGAAAGAAGAGTGCATCGGACGCATACCATACTACTCCATGTTCCTTATATACCAAAATAACAAGCCACAGCGCTTTATTTGACGTTTCAGCTGAATGGCTGCTTGCGTTGCACCTTCACTTTTCTAAGTGTCCTTCTTGTTCTTTCTTACGGAGCATTTCCCCGACGCTCGCCCGCAACGGCCATCCCTGGTCGGAGTCCGTGGAGGCCTGTTTCAACCAGGCTCGGGAGTTCCCAGTCTCCCGTAAGAAACCACGTCCACTTTTCAACGGGGGTTCTATTTTTGGTATCATGCATATCAATAATCGCATATTAATCACCAACCCACTTTATGTTGACTTAAAACCCGATTTTTGCTGCGCTTCCTGAGGCGGTATGTGGATGGTTATGCAGTGGTGTCTGAGCAGGGGTATGTAATGACATTAGTAAAGGCTACCTAGGTATTTATTTAGTAACTAACCAAAGCTCAAAAGCGTCCGATGCCTCCACCCACTCCACATATTTTAACTAACACAGCTACGCTTGTTATTAGAGCATGATGTAGTTATGAATTAAAAATAGCAGCGTTTGTAGCAAATCAAGAAATCAGCGACCAAAATCCAGGGTAACCCTGTTTTTATCCCAAGTTAAAAGTTAAGTTATGGAATAAGAGCGAATATATACCAGCTGGAGGGGTTTGATGCGCGAATACCAACGGATTGAGAGAAAATCGCGAGGGAGTAAGCAAACCATTGATAGATCTATGTTTCGTTTACACTCAAAATAAATAAATTAAATAAATAAAGCTGTTTCCCGTCAAAATACTATCACATATACTACATGGACATACATTTGTACGGATTACCTACCCGCTGTTCCCCCCTTCTAAACCCAAAAAAAAGAGATGAAAATCAAGATATAACTTATTTCCACTACATTGGTATTCCGCGTACAACTTCTTGCTGACCCGATCTAGGGGATGCACGTTCAATAATCAAACGCTAGGACAAACAATTGTAGGATTCAGTTCTGCACCCCCCATGTACAGTACATAGATGTACCCAAGGTAGAGAGATATCTGAGGCCCTCTGAATTCACCCAAACTTTTCAACTAATAATAATAATAATAATAATAATAATAATAATAATAATAATAATAATACTATAAAGGACAAGCTTCTCATGAGTTTCCAGCAAATGAAGATAAAAGCACAAAAGCTTCTGTCGTCTATTTCAGTTAGAGAAGAACCTTTCAAAATCGGGAATTTCGGGACAGGGAGTCGTGATCAGTCGTTTCGGAATATTTGGAACATTTCTAGCCTTGAAAATTTCTGTAAAGGCCACAGATAATGTTTTATTTGAGAAGTGCAGTCCTTGATTATCGTAAATTTTTCTGACCCGTAGTTGCTTAAATGTTTAATGTTTATAATCAAAGTTGATGAGGTCTTTGGGGTTGTTGTTGTGCTCCGTTTCTCCTGGTTGATGAGAGAATAAATATAAAAGACTTGCCCATCACTAGAAGCGACGAGTACAGGTTCCTGGGTGCAGGATCATAGGCGTCCCCTTGATCTGTAATTTTGCGATTCTTCCCTCGATGTAACACCAGGAAGCAAGCAAATCCTAACTGTCAAATACCTCAAGCTGCATAATCTGTCCTACAAGAAAGTGTAGGCAGCGTAATGTAGTTGGATAAGATATGAACATGGGAGGCATGAATCAAGGGGGAAATGGATAGCCGCACGGTACTGTAAACCTAGAGTAAGTTTATCACGGCGGCAGTTTATCTATAATTGAATTGATCTTTGATCCACCAGTCAGTATACATGTCTTTTCCGATTAAATAGAGGATGAAAGGGGTTGTGAAGAAACCTTACCTATAGCTAATAGTGACGTTGACAAAAAGAGGCATATGGAACCAAATGTACTTACTATACATAGTAGGAGGCTTTCCATACGAAGAACGAGTATCCCGTTTTGTAACTGAAAGCTTGATGTAGTTCTTCAATGTTCAAAGAATCTACGCAGCGTACGAAGAGAAATCAAGCTGATTGATCTGCCAGATTGTTGCCCGCCAAGAAGACAACGGCCTTCTCTTTTTAAGGGCCAATCAATCCCCTTCCCCCTGAAAAAATGCAGTTATTGTTCCACAACCCGAATAGAAGTAAGGACTCTTCGTATGTTCCCCCGTCTTGAATTCTGCTGCCTCCAGGCCATGAAAATATGAATCCATACAACACCACTCACCCGACACCAAGCCCAAAAGTGCTGTATGTGTATGTATGTTGTGAAGCTTCATGCGACCCGACCGATGCTCAGCCTCACGCTAATCGTCATTGGTAGCAAATCAGATCTGGATTAAGCCAATCACAGCGTCGAACGTCACACGGCAGGTCTTGGCTGCTGTCATCTGTGTGGCTGGAGCTCTTACGCTAACTGAAAATTAACTAGCGTTGAGGCTTGGCAATATAATTTAGCCGTATTTGGGCAAGATAGGCTATTCGCGCTAAATCCAATACGGCAATACCCAGATCGGTCTTACATAAGGCACATCCGCCCCGAGAAACTTCCACCGGGCATAAAGTCCAGCAACAACCACCAAGTTCAGCTTCAACTTCAACGACAACAAACTACCTCAGGTTTTTACACTGCGCTGTGCGGCAGCTGTCTTCTGTTGTAACATCGACTCTGCAGATAAAGAGGCCCAAAATAGCAGCCATCAACTCTAGATACATAACTCTGTTCTTCCGCCGTACCCGCTACAGGCTTAATTCTCCATTTCTCCATTTGTTTGCCCCCTCTCCAGAGTATCTTGTATTTTCACTTCCAACTTGTCACCGCTTAGTCCCCAGCATTCGTGACGTATACTCCGGCGCTGCCGTCAAATCCCCCCGTTTCCGCTTCAGGTGGGGACCTCCTAGACAATGAGTCTCAAGGGGCTCCAGAAATCCGTCGCGCGGGCGCCACAGACCTTCAAAGCTCGCTTCAATGTTGGAGAGAACACCAAGGATGCCGTCTACATCGATGCTGAACGGAGATTTCAGGAGTTAGAGAAGGAGACGAAGAAGCTGCACGATGAATCAAAGAAGTACTTCGACGCCATCAATGGTATCCCAAGTGTCATCTTAAAGAAAAACATGCCCCTCCCCGGCCTTCCGTTTCCCCGGGCCCCACTCCACCTCACATCCAAGTATCCTACGATAATTCTGCGGTGCTGGTTGCGCAATTACTAACCCTTGTCTCATCTTTAGGCATGCTTAATCACCAGATCCAATTCTCAGAAGCTATCAAAGAACTCTACAAGCCTATCTCCGGTCGAGCCTCAGATCCAGAATCTACGATGCCTGAAGGGAACCTGGCAGGAATCGAGGCCTGCGACGAATATGCTTCGATCGTCCGCGAACTGCAGACAACCCTAGAGCCTGAATTGGAATTGATAAATTCCCGAGTGGTCCACCCCGCCCAGGAGCTCCTGGAGATCATTAAGATCATTCGCAAGGTAGCAGTAAAACGACAACACAAACAACTGGATTACGATCGGCACCGCGCCACATTAAAAAAGCTTCAGGATAAGAAGGATAAGTCGTTAAAAGACGAAAAGGCCCTGTACAAGGCTGAGAATGATGTCGAACAAGCGACTGCGGAGTTCAACTACTACAATGACCTTCTGAAAAAGGAGCTCCCACAACTCTTCCACCTAGAAGCGGAGCTAATCAAACCACTCTTCCAATCATTCTACTATATGCAACTTAATGTCTTCTACACCCTTCACGAACAAATGCAAGGGATGAACATCGGTTATTTCGACCTAACTTCAGACGTCGAGGAGGCTTTTGAACTAAAACGAGGCGACGTCAAGGAGCGTACGGAGGAGCTTTCAATCGTCCACTTCAAGACTACCGGCGGCCGTCGACCGGGTTCCAGATTCCTTCCAGGCGGAAAGGATAAGCTCGCTGCGGAACAAAAGGCACACCCATCGCGCCGCACGACGGATACCTCAGAGAACAACCCACCACCACCCTACTCCGCCCACACCGCATCTACACTTATCGGCGGCAGCAGTTCGTTGGCTGCGGCTGCAAAGGCAAAGAAGCCACCGCCTCCACCCAAGCCGGCCCGGCTCGCGGGATCGTCCCCGCCTATAGAGACCGTGACAGCGTTATATGATTACGAGGCACAGGCGTATGGGGATCTGAGCTTTTCTGCCGGCGAAGTGATTGAGGTTATAGAACGGAGTAACAATGAGAATGATTGGTGGACGGGGAGGGTTAATGGAAAGACGGGGCAGTTTCCAGGTATGACCGCCATATATTTAACACTTTCCTTTGTTACTTTCCTCCCTATAGTGAAACGAGGTGGTACTAATTTTTATTTTTTTTACTTTTTCTTTTTGGCATCAACAGCAAACTATGTTAAATTAAACTAGAGGTCATTCTTTTATATTTGTTTCTTTACCTACCACCCTTCCCTTTAACTACCCAGCTTGTTTTATCCCCATCCTCTCTTCATTCTACGTATTTACATAACATCAATAGGAAAGTCAACATCTTATCGGTTTAGCAACATAGCATATCGCATAGTTATAGTTATTTTATCAAAAATTGGGGCGTACATAAACATAACACATCGCATATACCTGGGCGCATAGCCTTATCCTACCTACTCCACTTATATAATTGCGAATCCTACTAATAACAATTTTGAAAGGGATGTACAATTTTACTTTATCATTTATCTTACTATCTTACATACATGTATGTTGTATACGCAATTCTTCCCACCCCGGTTCGAATGATATTCGTGGTACCAACATGCCCATGTTGTCTGTCGTCCTACCGCCGCGGAATTCCCCTACACCAAAGGCCCCCCAGCGGTGA